AATCAAAGTTGTTTGAATTAAAATCCTTCTTTTATGGATATGATCTATTATTGTTTTGATGAAATCATTAATGCTCCTCTTAATTTGGATGATTATTAATAGATTGAAAAAGTTGTAAAAGCATTTTGTGTCTATTAAGAAATTATTCAATACATAGATGATTTGAACTCAGGATTGATTTTGTTTAATAATTTCACTAGCTAAGACATCATTTAAATGAGTTCTTTATCTTTTGTAGATATATAATGTTCACAATGCCAAAATGGGTTGATATTTCTATAATTTTATAATTCCAATTCTTAGATTTAATAGTAATTAATTACTTCTCTTTTGGTACAAAATTCAACTTGTGGTAAATAAGGATGTGTAAATGTTGAAAAGATTTCAAATAAGAATAATAGATTACTAAATGAATTTTAACTTTATAGATTGAATTATGAATTAATTATTAGAAATTATATTTGCTAAAACAATACTGGTAGTCAAGGAACTTGTTTAAAAATTAATGAAATTTAAACACTTTTAGAGAATATTCTGTTTTAATATAATGAAGCTACTTAATAAGGAGGTTCTATCTATGTGAAAGGAAATTAATATTTAATAATATAAAAAAGCATCATATAATTTAATAAGGCTTATATAGGTGGAGGATTGTATATTGAGGAATAAGTGGCAATTAACTATCAGAAGGGGTAAACTAAAGTATTAAATAATATGGCTGGAGTTTATGGTAATGATATAGCATCAATTCCTTAACAACTTTCATTAAAAATAAAAAATGAACCTTAAATTTTATAAACAATAACCAAAATTAGCAATTCTACTTTAAAAATACAAGAAATAGAAGTTAAACCATATATTGGAATAAATGGGAAAATGTTGAAGTATATTTATCTCCCAACAGGATAGAAAATTTCAACTTATAATATTTTTGATTGGAAGAATAAAATTTACTACAAATCCAATTTAATTTTCAGAGTTTTTGCCCTAGATGGTAATATGAATACTATTAAAAATTTAAATGATTCATACTGTTAAATATAAAGTAGAATACTAAATATATCAAAGAATAAAGAGGAGAATTAAGAATTTACAAATAATTATACTAATATTCTTAAAATACCTTATAATTTAAGTACATAAAATTATAATCTTGACGATATGATAGTCTATTTTGATAATTAAGCCCCTTAAGATATTGTTCTTTAAATATAATTCATTTGTAATTCTATAAGAATACCTATTTATAATCTTGAAAATCCATTAGAAATTGTTGATTACCATTCAAATTACAAACTTCGAGTTAATATAAAGACATATGATTGTTAATTTGGAGAAGTTAAAAATATCACAAATTTTTCATGTGAGAAATGTGATTCTGCTCTAGGCTTATTCTCTTTAAAATTAAATTCTCTTAAATGTGACATTAAAAATGAGTTAACTACTTTGAATATTAAAGACAATTAATTAGTTTTGAGACAAGGATACTGGAAGCCATATTTTGATACAATAGATATTGCTTATTGTCTCAATCTACAAGAAAACTGTTTAGGAGGAATAAACGAAGGAGATAATTCATGTTATAATGGCCATATTGGAGCACTTTGTGAATAATGTGATTTATACGATATAAGAGGAAATGGGTAATATTCAATTGTTAAGAAATTTTAATGTGGTCCTTGTGTTGAAAAGGGAAGAAATATCTTAATTATTTTAGGAATTGTTATTTTAACACTTATTTTTCTATTAATCTCAGTCTAAGGAAATATAAAAACTATTGAATAATATACAAAATATATGCCTTTCAAAATCTTGAAAAATTCTATTTTTATGAACAAGAATTAATCTGGGATGTTAATTAAGATGCTAACTAATTATTTTCAAATTATTGTTTCAATTACTACATTTTAATTAAAATTATCTGAAGGATTAAATAATACTTTAAATATTGCTGGAAACCCTCTTTAAACATCTTCTTATTCTTTGGATTGTTTTTTAGTTGACTTAAAAGACTTATAAATAGAATACGCTAGAATGATTTGGTAAACTGTAATACCAATATTATATATTACTCTTTTTTTAGCTTTATATTCATTAATAAATATATTAAAGAAAGAAAAATTAAATTCAAGTGTCGCAACAACAACTCTTTTATATATCTACATTTACTTTTAACCTAATTTAGTTAATGGATTTATTGAACTTATTTCTTTTAGAAATATTTCTGGTTTCAAATGGATTTAAGCTAATGTCTCTTAAAGATATGATACTAAATCACATTAAATGTGGATGTTTTAGTTTTGTTTTCCTTTGATTATATTTATTTCATTAGTAATACCCTTTTACTTTTTCTTTGGTCTCTATTATAATAAGAACAATCTTGAAAAAAAAAGTATTAGACTTCATTGGGGATATTTGTATAATGAATACAAAGTATAGGCTTACTTTTGGGAATTAATTAAAATAATCCAAAAAGAACTAATTATTCTATCTCTTGTCTATTATGAAGAAGCAATTGTATTGAAAGGAGTGCTGTTACTCTTTATAACTTATGTTTACTAAGAATTAAATGCTTATTATTAACCTTATAAATTAAATAATCTGAATAAATTAGATTATTATTCTGCTAATATTAGTATGATCACTATTGGTTTAGCAATAGGATCTTATATTTCTTAATAATCTAAAATTCTAGAACTTTAAATACCGTTCTATATTTTAATGTCAATATTAAACTTTTTATTTTTATTCAGAATCATTTCTTAAATTATAATAGAATATTCAAAAGAATTTGAAGGATAATTGGAAAAAATTAAAAATAAAATTAGAAACAAATTTCCAAAAACTTCTTAATATGGTTGTTTTGGTAGACTACTTAAAAATAGAGTAGAACAGCGAAAAAAAGCAATAATGGCTTTTTAAAAATTAAAAAAACTAGGAATTCCTTTAGCAAAGAAAATAATCCAAATGAGGAAATCTTCATATGAAATAAATTCTTAATTGAAAATGTCTTCAACTTTTGATCATTTCTATTAACTAAAATTAGAAGGTTTAGATTTAGAAAAGTCTTCCTAAAATAGAATTCTTAGCGCAAAAATTACGAATTGATATATTAAGAATAAAAATAAATTTATCAATAAAATTATGTAAATCATAATTTAATGTGATGAATTTGGATAAGAGTAGTTTCTTGTTATTCAGTATAAATAGCTTCTACTTTTTTATATTTATAATATATTTTTTTGTCTTAGAATGCTATTTAATTTATTTCTTAATTATATTATCTTTGGTTTCTCTAAGACTTCATACTATTTTCAAAAGTTGAATTGCTTAGAATTGCCTTTTTGATAATCGATTCTCTTTTAACTCAGCTTAGACATAAAGATAGGTAGATGTGAAAGACACAATCAAATTGATCCCTTTATAAAATTGTTAAAATAGTAATATGCATCAATTTAGATTTAACATCAATATAAGTATAGTTTTTACTTTTTTTTTTTGTAAGACAGCTTTACACATCATTAAGTAAGGAATATTTACCATAATCATAGAAAACCTGAAAAATTGAAGGATTTTGGATTATTAATTTATTATAAATAATTTTGTTTATATATAAAATCTCTATAATTAAAAAATACTATAATTTTATTAAATTTTTTATTAAATAAACAAAATATAATTGGAAATTTGCTTTCATGTAATTTTTTTAAAATTTTATTCAAATTTATCCTCTAAAAATAATGTGTCTACTCAATATTCACAATAGAATAAATTACAGAAATTGGGTTTTCACTCTATTTTATGCTTAAAGCTAGACATTAGCCATTTAAAAAAGTCAAGCATGATTATTGCTTTTCATTATTATCTCTGAACTCTTGCATTATCTCTATATCCTAATTTCAAGAAATTATTTAATAAGAGTCATTGTTGATTTAGTAATAAAATTAAAGAGAATTTAATTTTATCTAATCCAATGATTCTAATATTTAATTTTTCCTATATGAAAATTACTTGTTTATAATCATAATAATTTTTAATTAATTAATTAATAAGTCATAGAATTTTGAAAGTAATTTAACTCTAAATTCTAATTGTAGCAATTTACCTAACTTAGATTGAATAAACAAGGCATAAATTAGTTCAAATTATATTTAAAATTTATCTCGTAAAAAAATGTAGTCAATTATTTTAATTCATTATAAAAATTAATTCGTCTTCTTAACTTCCATAATCAAATTAGGAATATAAATAATTCATAAAATTTGGCATAAATTTAATGATATTTTCAACAAAGAGAAAAGAATACAAAAATATTATAATATATGTAACTGCTGTTGCTAAGTAAATAATAATAAATAGTTTGCATTCAAATACTTAAAAAAAATAAGATTTTCATAATTAAAATTATACACTTGAAATCTAAAATAAAATTCAGCTTTCTAGAACTTGAAAAAAAATAAATTTTCTTTAATTTAAATAAAAACAAATAGGATTATTTATTTATGATACCTTAATTTTAATAGTTTCTTAATCAAAACTTAGAATAAAATATTTCTATTAATAAATAAATCAAGCTTTTTTATCTTTTATTAAGAAATATTGGGGTAGTTTTATTGATACAATCTCAGAAATATTTATCTAACTAAAAAATTCGAAAAATGTGTATTTTGGAAGGGAAAAATAATTTTATTTTATTCTTTATTTTCTCAAAATTGAAGTCTAGAAAAGAATTTTAGATCAATTATATTTATCTGATGATAAACGTCAATTGGAAGTTTTTGATGACTTTTAATAAAAAACAGAATCCATACAAAAATATTGAATTCAATTAAGAAGAGTGAAATTAAGTCAAATTTATTGAGAAAGTTTAGAGAGATTTTCAATTAAGTATGAAAGTCAATAAATAGTTAAAATTTTTAAAACTAAAATTGAAACATTTTAGTTTTAATGTGATTATAATTAAATGATCTTATTTAAAATATTGATAATATATAATTATTTCAATTTAATAATTTGCCATTTTCAAAAAGTTATTTATACTCTTGAATGAACTCTTTTTTCATCAACAAATAATTAATTCCTTACTTTTATAAATAATTTATTGCTTTGTTATAAATTAATTGCCATGAGTTTTTCGAATTCTGACAAAAAATTTCCAAATAGAATAGAGAAAGAAGTGTTTACCAACATTAATCTTCTAAATTAAATTTATTATTTATTTAACAAACTTTTAGTTATTCTTCAATATGTATTTCTAAAAGGAAGCTTCCGTTTGCTTAAAAACAGTCAACTAATTCAACAAATGTTATCATTTCAAAATCATTGTCAAGTATTTTTGGTTCCAGAATACATTAGATACTTTATTTAGGGAGAAATTTATTAGTTTATTATTGGTTTTATTGTATGAATGGGGTTTAAATTATTTATTATTCTAACTCATTATCAGATTATGATTAAAGCATAACTTTTTCTGACTATTCAATTTCTTAACATTGTATTGGCATGCTACTTTTCTCACACTTTTGTATATTAGAAAGAATACATTATTTTCGACTATATTTAATTCCTCCTTTTTAATTTTTAATTTAGCTATCTGGACTGCTATCAGATTCATATTCATATTTTTATTTATTAATTTTGATTTTTTTCTTAATCAATTTTTTTAGATCTTTTTCATTTTGACATACTTCACAAATAAAAGCTGTCCTGGAACACAAAATTTGATTTTATAATGACAAATTTATAATATCTTATTCAGTAATGCTTTTTTGATTGACTTTAACCTTATCTATAATTTAATCATCATATTAAATTGCATTTTCATAATATTTAATAAGTTTATGAGCAGCTAATTTATGAAAATAGTCATTTTCTTTTGATTGATTTAGATTCAATTTAACATCAAAAGATATTTACTTATTTAATTAAGGATCATAACAATTGATTTTGAATTCTAGATTTTCTTATTTTTATTTTTTTGAGAATAAAATTTATATAGTTAATTCTTGATTTTTCTTCAATAAAGAAATTGATTGTGGATCAGGAATAATTTATGAAACTTTTTCAATATTATGCGTTAATGAAAATCCTTTTAAGTATAGAGTTAAAGAATCTTCTAATAAATCAATAACTTTAGAATTAATATCTTCATTATCACCTACTAATTAACATTTTCCATTTCCTACTTCAGCTAATTTTTAAACTAAATATTCACTACAACCATCCCCAATTCCAAGAGTATATACTCTAGTTTCAGGTCTTTAATTTTGAAGAACAAGTTTAATAATTTAATCTGGAGAATCTTCTCCATCAGTTAATAAAAAAGCATTAATAGTTTCTAAATTATTTTAATTTTTTGAATAATTTTGATCATAAATACCCATTTCTAATGCTTTATAAATATTAGTACCACCTAAATTAGCATTCATAATTTCAATCTATTATATTGCTTAATTTAATGAATTTTAATTATAAGATTATGAAGTATCAAACATTTTAACAGCATTACTACCAAATGAAATTATGTTAAATAAAGAATCTTCAGGTAAACTCTTCAAAAATAATATCAAAGATTATTTTGCCTTTTTAATTCTTTCACCTCTCATTGAAGCACTACGATCAATGAAAAAAAGATAAGTTCCTCTTTAGATATTTGTTTATTAAGGTAAATTTAAACCGCTTAAATATGATTAATAAGCATCTTCTATTGGAAACTCATTAAATTTTGGAATAAGTGTCAAAGTAGCACAATATTTTATATGTTATAATGCATCATTATTTGTATGACTCAAAATAGCATTTGATTTGTTAATATCATCTGATGTAAATAACAATTCAAACTTTTTATTTGGATCCATATTACCTGGATGATTACTATCTAAGGTGATTGTTAATTAACTTTATGAAGTTTATATATTATTTTATTTCTAATTCAAATTATTTATATCCTTATTAATCATTACTATGTGTGTTGGAGAATTGATATATGTAATAGGTTTTCCCATATCAATTATTACAGAAATGTTTTACTGATAATTTAATTAGATAGCTTCAAGATTAATAATGCCACTCACTTAAGAGTAATAAAATGCATATTCCTGATAAACATTTTATAGTTAATGAACTGTTAGATAACTTGTATCTATCATAGGAGATAATTCTAATCTCCAAAATTAATTTAGAAATACCTATATGGGTTAAATATATTCAAATAAGATTTTCAATTATTAACCTGGATTCAAACAACCTATTTTTACCTTTTTTATATTTGAGATTTTAGAATCTTATTCACTTAAAACCATAGTCTTACCTTCTTTTATTCCCTTTTCATATTCTTTTTTTGCTTCCTCTAATTCTTTAATAACACCATAAACTTTTTTATCTCCAAGTTCAACAATCATCTAACTTACAGCAGAATTTTCTTAAATCGTGTATAAATATTCTAAATCACATTGATTCTAATTTTATTCAGTTGAATAACTTTGACAGATTTAAACAATTGCTAATCCAGGTTATATATTAACTGTATACTAAACCTATTTTAATTGAATTGGTAATTTTGTCTTTAAGTCATAGCATATAATTATTGGACGTGCTAGCTTCTCATTAAAACTTTTCACTTTTCTTTTATCTTCTAATTTTATTTTAGGGTTATACATTTAAATTTTTTTATTTATTCAAGAATTAACAAAATTTTTCTTTATAACTACCTATTTAAATGCAAATTTTCTATTTTTCATCAGAATCATACTTTCTTGGTAGATTTTAAATTGCAATTATATCATCATGTTAATTACATTAAATTTAGAACCATTTCTAAACTAATAACACAAAACAAAATATTTTTAAGCATAGATTTTTAAAACTCAAAATAATAAATATTTGCTTATGAATTAATGCTAAGAATATTTGTAGGATACACGTTAAAAAAATTTTATATACAAAATATTATAATTATACTTATATTTCTTAATGGATAAATAATTAGAAAAAATGAAAATTCTTTTCTATCATAATTTTAATTAGAAGAATATTTTCTGAATCGTAGAAAACTATTGATTTGTAATAAATATAGTATGATATGGTAAATTTTATTCCAGAGTTATCAAATTTAGTGGAATAGTGCAGAATTAAGGCATCAAATAATTGTTGAAAATATTCAAATAAATCTTTCATCTTTTTGCTTTCTATATTTATTTATTGACAGCTCAGTGTTCCAGGAATTTCTGTAATAAATTCTATGAATTTTTCATATAGAATTAAGAATTAAACATTAAATCTGCGGTGATTAATTAATGTTTCTTAAAAAATTGTTTAAGAACTCTGGGGTTGTGATAAAAACTACATCATTAAAAAATAAATATACACAATTTAAATAATTAAGATTGACAAATATATATTATTATTATCATAAATTCATTAATTAAGATTTTAAGTTTAGATCAATATGAGAATGATCAAATTTTAAATTAGATAAAAATGAAAATTAATAGATTATTAAATATGTATTTAAATATGTATTTGCAATCTTTAAGAAGCTGATATTTAGATTAAAGTTACAATATACCTATTTTAATGTTGGGATCATAATAAAATACATCTCTTCAATATGGATAGATTATAAATTAAATGTTTAAAAATAATACTTGCCTTTTTATTATGAATGAATCGAATTGGAACTATCTTATAAATACTAAACATTAACTTGTCATTACATTAAACGAAAAAAAATAGTTCAAGTTAACGTCATATGCCAGAATAAATTTTCTTGAGGAAATTATCAATTAACATATGTACTTCCTGCTTTAGAAAAAATCAAGAAAATGATGGATTTATCAATTATTAATTATTATTGGTTGTTTACTAATTTTCTTTTACATTTTAGTGAAGTCAACCGAAAAAATTTCCAAATACCAATGCTTAAATATAAATATTATCTTTTTTATTTATTATTTAAAATCCTAATGAAAATTTATTTTTATTTATTCATTTTAGGTATAATTTTGAAAGAGAATGATATTTCTCATTCAATTTAGGTTAATTTTTTTTCAATTTCATCAACCTTCATTAATTTTTCCAATTTTACTTAGTTTTCCTAAAATTATTTATAACATCTTTAATATATCTAAAGGGATTAAGATTAAGTTTCAAACTCAGATTAATACAATTTTTCTAGCTTTCCCTTTGATTTCAGATCTTATTCTTCTTGTTTAAGAGTTTTAAAGAAATTAAATGAAATTTCAAAGAATGATAAATATTAGTCTTAAATAGTGGTCTTTTTAAGAAAATCTATAACTTCTTAATCATTCTCAATCTTATCTTTGGAAGCATCATTTGATTATTGGGGTTCTTAATAACATTAAAAAAATACATTAATCATAATTCATAAGCCATTAAATTAATTCTGAACAACTAAATTTTCTTTAATCAACTCTTCTAATAATTTCTTTTGGGTTTAGTAAAATGTAAAATCCTCTTAATTTTAATTTTTTTCTTAAATTTTCTACTTTTCTTTTTGACCAAGAATTTCAATTATATAAAGTAGATTTTTTTTGCCTTATTAAAAAAAAGAAATATTTTCAATTCTTAAAGTTTTTCAAATGCTTAAAGTTCTTTTAGTAATTGATCATTCAACATAATTCTTGATTGTACTTATCTTATAAATTATTTATAATTCCTATCGCCTAATTAAATCTTGCTTCTCTTTAGAATCTCTTTTCATCCTATTCTTCTAAATACCTTTTCCATCTTTTATTAGCCTCAGTTAGATTTATGAGATTAGAAACAGACTTGTTTTCAGCAAAACTTTTTTGTAAGCATTCGATACATAAAAATGGAATTTTTTCCTCAAATTCTGCTTGACTTAAATTAAACATTATAATCTCCAGTGAATGAGTTTCACATATTGTATTTAAAAATTGTGTTACCTATTAAATTAAAAGAATACATACATTTTATTATTATGGATCTTAATTAATTTAACATTACTAAACCATTTAATGGATATGTTTTTTGCTTCATGTAATTATTCAGGGTTCTTTATTAAGTCGAAAACTTTATTAATATAGTTTATTAAAGCCACTAACTCTTAATTGTCGAATTTAGGTTAAGGACTTGAGAATTAACCATCTTCTTTCTNAAATTATTTATAACATCTTTAATATATCTAAAGGGATTAAGATTAAGTTTCAAACTCAGATTAATACAATTTTTCTAGCTTTCCCTTTGATTTCAGATCTTATTCTTCTTGTTTAAGAGTTTTAAAGAAATTAAATGAAATTTCAAAGAATGATAAATATTAGTCTTAAATAGTGGTCTTTTTAAGAAAATCTATAACTTCTTAATCATTCTCAATCTTATCTTTGGAAGCATCATTTGATTATTGGGGTTCTTAATAACATTAAAAAAATACATTAATCATAATTCATAAGCCATTAAATTAATTCTGAACAACTAAATTTTCTTTAATCAACTCTTCTAATAATTTCTTTTGGGTTTAGTAAAATGTAAAATCCTCTTAATTTTAATTTTTTTCTTAAATTTTCTACTTTTCTTTTTGACCAAGAATTTCAATTATATAAAGTAGATTTTTTTTGCCTTATTAAAAAAAAGAAATATTTTCAATTCTTAAAGTTTTTCAAATGCTTAAAGTTCTTTTAGTAATTGATCATTCAACATAATTCTTGATTGTACTTATCTTATAAATTATTTATAATTCCTATCGCCTAATTAAATCTTGCTTCTCTTTAGAATCTCTTTTCATCCTATTCTTCTAAATACCTTTTCCATCTTTTATTAGCCTCAGTTAGATTTATGAGATTAGAAACAGACTTGTTTTCAGCAAAACTTTTTTGTAAGCATTCGATACATAAAAATGGAATTTTTTCCTCAAATTCTGCTTGACTTAAATTAAACATTATAATCTCCAGTGAATGAGTTTCACATATTGTATTTAAAAATTGTGTTACCTATTAAATTAAAAGAATACATACATTTTATTATTATGGATCTTAATTAATTTAACATTACTAAACCATTTAATGGATATGTTTTTTGCTTCATGTAATTATTCAGGGTTCTTTATTAAGTCGAAAACTTTATTAATATAGTTTATTAAAGCCACTAACTCTTAATTGTCGAATTTAGGTTAAGGACTTGAGAATTAACCATCTTCTTTCTAAAAATTTTATGATAATATAATGACCTATTCATAATTTTAAATTATCCTAACTGAATTAAAACTCGAAATGAATTTTGTAAAAATCTTGAAGAAAAAATACAATCTTCCTAAGAATCGGATTATATTAATTTTTTAAAATTTTCTAAATTGATTATGGAGGTCTACTACATAGAAGAAAGATAAATTTAAAACTATTTTAATAAGAATCATAAAAATGCTTTTTATTAATTTCTAAACCAAAAATAAGATCATCATTTCGAATAAGACATAAATTCTTCTTTACAGGTAAATTAACAATAATTTTTTTATTTTGAATAAATAATTATTTATGATAGAAAAAAATGCTAACTAAAGTTATTATTTACTGTTAGATTTATTAAAGTTTAATATAACAGAGAAGATAAAAAAAAATTAGTGGAAAAATTATTTGGAAATGGTTCTTAAATTACAATGAAATAAGTGAATTAAGAGGATAAGGATTTAAAAAAATTCTTAGAATTTATTAAATTTGTTGATTTGAAAGATAAAATAATTACAGTAAGCGATCTTATGATTGAATTTTTAAGGTTTAATTTCAAAGAATTGAAAATTTAGAATTAAAAATAAGAATTATCCAACAAAAATCAAGAAAATAATTATGTCAATAGAAATAAAAATATCAAAAAGGATATACAAAGGATTCATGATTCAAAATTTTGTAATGATTATAAAAAATACATGATTATATTTTTAATCCTGATTCAATTGGAAATCATCCAATAGTTGTTAAAAAGGAGTTTCCAAATAAATTCAATGAATTAATGAAAATATAAGGAAGCTGGGAAAAAAAATATTTTGAAGTTTATGATGTAGTAAAGACAGAGATGGTAGAAAAAAGTAAAATAGATGAAGATCAAGTTTCTTCCTATGACATTTTTATTTTACACAAAATAATAGATAAAATAAAATAGAATATCATAAAAAACTAAATGTAATAAATAATTTACTAAATATGGTGTAATATTAAAACCATTAGAAGAAAGATGTATTATTTTCTTTGCTCTATTGATTATTTTTCGATTTATTTGTTTTAAGAAGTGGGAATCTGTACATAATAATTTAATCAAATTTGATGCAATGAGCTAATATTAATATTAAAAATTTGTTGCACAAATAAAAAAAAATAAAAAGTAATAAAGCTCAATTTCAGCAGATTCCTTTTTGAAGTTTATTGTATAATAGTTTATAAAGAATTTTTGTACAAAATATATTTTAGAAGTCACTGATTTTGTAAAGTAGAAGACAATAATTTGTTAAAAATTAGTTTAAGAATTGGATGAATATATATTAAAATAAAGAAAAGAACCTTAAGAATAAATTATTATATATATCAGTGATTAAAAATAATACACTGATAAAATAAAAAATGAAATTGTTGAAAAATATGAAAAATTAATTTAAATAAAGTTATCAAATTTTTTATAAGAATTTGATGAAAATGTTAATAACAATAAAAATAAAGAAAAGATGCTTCTATTCTGGATTATTTTAATTAAGAAATTAATTAATAGTTTAACAACAGCAATGAACAAATAGAATTTGAATCAAATTTGGATAAATAATTTTTTGATATAGCAGTTCTTTGTCTTTTTGGTAAATGTTAAAAAGAAAATGTAAAGAATATAAATGATTCAATTTAAGATCCTTATTATTTAGATTAATTTAAATAACTTCCTGAATTTGACTTTTCTTAAAGAACTTCTTCAGAAAATAAGATTTATAAATTAGATTCTTTTATTCAAAAATTATAACAAATTATTAATGGAAAATAAGAATAAAAATCTTAAATAACTGAATTTTAAATTTAAGAAAATTTAGATTAAATTACTTAAGATATGAATGGATGTTCAGAATCTTGTCCTTTATGTAAAAGTAAATGTGATTTAGAATTCAAACACATATCAGTTCATCAATGTTAAAATGGTCATTAATTAAGAGGTATTGAATATTAATAATATAGGAATGAATGGTGTATTAATAAATGATTCAATTCCATCTTTGTTTAGTTGTGAGGAAATTTAAGATGGATTTTAAATAAAAATAGATGAAAGGTAGAAGATTGATACATGGAAACAGGTTAAGGAAATGAATATAGAATGGAAATTCAGAAGCTCAAATACTGAAATAATTTAGTAAAATAAAGAATAAATGATGACAATTTGGAATAGCGGTATTGGATAAATAATATGTAATTAATTTTCATAAAAGTTTAACAAAAAAAATAAGTTTACAGAAAAATCGTTAAATTAAGAACAAAATGTATACTCCTCTAAAACACATCACATTTTCATGCTTGATAGTTCAGAATCAATGGCTGGTTAAAATTGGACAAATGTCAAAAATGGAGCTATTGCAGGAATCAAAATATATAATAAAATCATGAGGCTGTAGTAAGTGTCATTACATTTAATGATGGTGCAGAAATATAAATTTAATGTTTGAAAACTTAATATAATAGCGAAAAATAAGATACCCAACACCGAGGAGGTGGAACTAATTTTGACCAACCTTTTCTTACTGCTTTAAAGTTAATTTAATCTTATCCTAAATTTGAGAAGTTTTTTATTATTTTAGCTGTTATTTTATACTGATGGTTAAGCTGAATACCCTCTAGAAGCAATTTAAAAATTTTAATCCCTTCCTCGAGAATAAGCAAAAAAAATTGAACTTATTGCTTGCACTGAAGAATAGAGTGCTATTGTCTTAACATAATTACTAGAAGCATTGAAAAATCTTATTTCTTTGGCAGAATTAAAATATTCTGTAACTACATGTACTATTACTCAAGTTTGGTAAGAAGTGATAAATTAGTAATATCATAAAATTAAATGTTGAAATAAATTATCATAAGTAAATATCATATATTTTTATTATAAATAGCTTGTTGATTATTTTACTATATATTTAACCAAACATCCCATATTTAATTCTTAGTTTATCTTAAATCAAAAAAATTACATTTATTTAATTTCTCAATTTTTTTTTATTTTAAATTTTTAAAGTATTATTCATAAATAATTAAATACTGGAAGATAAATAAATTTATGAAATTTTTTTATGAACTTACAAATTAGATTCTATTGTTGATGGTAAATTTCATTAAAATATTTAGGTTGAGTTTAATTTTTAACAATTAAAAATTTATTACTAATAACAATCTCATTTAGCTTTATACAATATAAATCTACTTATAAATTTAAGAATTCAAATTTAAATAAACCTATGTTTTTTTTGGAAATTTATCAATATTAAGTTTTTTTATTTCTTTCACGTTTAAGAATATTGACAGATAATTTTTTTGTAAATTCATGAAAAAATTTTTGGAGCAAAATATTAGTAAAAACAAGAAATTTGTTATTGTGATCAAAAAGAGGGAATTAATCTTAATTATATTTAGCCTGTCTAATAGCAAATCAAATTTAAATATAATAAAAAAGCTCAAAATAAATTTAGTTTATAATTAGAAGAAATATTATTACTTTTACCCTTTCTTAATCTAAAGAGAAATAATAAGAAAAAAGTGCTTTATTATTTAACAGATTAACAATATTCAATAAAAAATATCTTGGATAGAGGAATTTAACTTGAATAAAATTAAAAAATAATTACATTTTTGAAATCTTCATCAATAATTAATCAAGAATTGAAATTGATTCCAATTAATAAACGAATGTTGGTTAATTTATAGTTTAAGAATAAATTAATATTAAATTTAGCATTTAAAAATATTCTAATTTATATGTGAATTTTGGGGTTATTTAGAGAAAATAACAAAAATTAATTCCTTCCTTTCAAGGAATTAGAATTGCGTTTATTCATAAATATATTCTTATTCATTATTTTAAATAATCCAATTTTAGCCCTAACTTTACTAATAATGATTAGTTTTGCTAATATAAGGGTTTGATTTATTCATCAATGAATAAGTTGGATTAATTTTGGAAAGGAGAAAGATTAAATTCAGGAGGGAATTACAATTAAAATGGATTAAAAATAGGAATATAGATAAAACTATAGGAGAATTATTGGGAGTATAAACTTTATTTATAATTTAATAAGTTAAGCAGATATTTATCATATTGGAATTTATAAAAATGGAAGAAAATATGGAAAGTGGAAGACAGTTTACATGGATAGAATATTGTAAGATAAAAATGATATTTCTAGAGGTGAAGGAGATTATGATGAAAATGAATGTATATTTATTTAGTCGGTTAATTTTTCAAAATTTCAGGTTTTGTATTTTTTGATAAAGTGAGTGTAGTAAGAAAACGAACTTGATATAAAAGTCTAAATAGAAATCTACTATTTGAAAACATGCTTTCATTGATAAAATGATTTGAATGTATCTATGTGAAAATCAAATTTATTAGAAATTTTATCATAAAATCTGAATATTTTATTTTATAATAACAATTGAGGTTGATAAACTTTTCATTTAAGAAATTTAATTTGATTAATTTAATCAAAATAATTTTATGATTTTTCCTGAGTGAATCCTAGTTTACAAGATATAATATGATCAATAACTTCTAATTATATTCAAGAAAAATATTAATTGTGAGTTTGAATTAAAGAATGAAAAATCTTAAATAGAAACTCCTTAATTAGTTATATATGAAATTTTCTAGTGTCATTTATTTCTTCGCTTAAGTTGTTATCATTAAAAAAATTCAAAATTATTAAATTTAATTCAAAATTATGTTCTGGGTTATTTAACTATTTAGGTACTTATTGTAATGAAAAATACTTAAATCTATTTGAACATGGAAATTTATTTTAGAAAATTAATTTTCTCTTTTTATTTTAAAAAAAAAGGCTGAAAAATTAATACTCCTATAAAAAATTCTAGTAGAATTGTTCATTTGTTTTGTTAGTCAGATTCTCTAAAATGTGATTTACTATATTATTACTCATCATCTCTAATATATTTCATAATATCTATTATATTAATTTTAATTAATTTAAGATGAAAAACCTAAAAATTGGAGATAAATAACTATGTTAAGTATATGAATAAAAAAATGAAAGAAAAACATTTGGATATGAATTGCTTTCTTAATATTCTGTTAAATAACAAGAATAGTGTTTTGCCATAGCAATTAATAAAGATAATAAATTTGTTATTGTAGGATGTGAATTTAAAATTAAAGTTTATTAATTTAAAACTGATAAATTAATTGAGATTTAAAAAATAAATGAAAAAGGAGTTTGGTGTAAATGGATCTGATAATAAAAATCAAATGGGCATACCAATTAGATCTCTTGATTTGTAATTAATAATTTAGATGATCTTATCATAAGTGGAAGTGCAGATTAAACAATTACATTTTAGAGTAGATAAAATGAGTGGTAAGGCACATAAACTATTAAAAATCATGTAAAGGGTCTACATAGCTTAAGTTTAAATGATTAAAATAATTAATTAATTTCTCTAGGAGGTGATAAGAGAATTTTAATTATAAAAAAAGAAAATAAGAATTGGATTATAAATCAAACAATTTTTATAGAATTAAATGGATACACTTTATGTCATATTAATGATGATACTTTTAGTTACTAACCTTGTTATCATTAAACAATGCATATCTATTAAAAAGTTCAAAATAACTCTGTAAAAACGAAAGAAATTTCAGTTAAGGGAGGAAAAAACTGTTCTATCTTATTTCCATAGAAATTAATTAAGGATTAATCCTTTTTATTAAATAAAAATGGATTACATATAAATTTTATAAGAATTACTCCTAATTCTTAATTTATTACAGAATATTCAATTGATTTTTAAGACTATTTTATCTATGGGACATTAAGTAATGATGGTAAGTTTTTAATTACAACCAGAAGAGATATAAATTAGATAATTTGTTGAATGAATAAAAAAATTTAATAAATATATATTATTATATTCTAATCAATTTTCCTTTATTATTTATTTACAAACACTTTTTTATTTTATACTTGAAAAAGTATTTATATAAAATTTTCAAATGCATCTCATAAAAAAATACTAGTTTGAATAAAAAGCAGCATTTATAAATATTTTCATAAAATTGATTATGTTTTAAGATCTTAGATAATTTTATTAATTTGTTATTTTCTATTTGTGGTTCTATCATAAGAGCAATCTATAAATGATAATTAGATTACAAGTATTAATATGAAAATATTTGTGTGAAATATAGCAAGAATTTATAAAAATAATAAATCTGATTGATAATCTTTTTATCATTAATCTATCATGAATTCAAACTTAGATAATAATCCAGAACTCCATTTAATAGCAATTCCTTTATATTCTTTCAAAAATAAAACTTTTGTAGAGCCCTGTCCTGGAGGCTCACAATTATATTTTAATTAATTTTCATAAATAACATCTTCTTCTTTAAAAATAATGAGCTTTGAATTTTCCTATGTAAGTATTTAGTTAACTTTACTTCATTAGCATCTTTTTCATATAATGTAACCTAGAACTCTTTATTACCTTTTTCTAAAGAAACAGCTTTCCCATTATCAATAATTCGCAAAATCAAGTTTTAACTTTTAATTATTCTAAATTTAATTGATCTGTACCTAGAGCAACCAGAATCAGAGTTATCTACTAACATTCTTGGAATAATTGATAAATATATAAATATATAAATCTATAAAATAAATAGTTATATAAATTCATAACTTAATTCTATAGAAAAAGATTTTAACAAAGATATCTCAAGTATCATTATTTAGATTAAATATAGTTAATTACTAAGCTAAACATCATTTTCAAAACTATATTTTTGTAAAATATTTTATTATAAGCAATCAAAAATATTCATTTTTTTGGAATTAAATTCCTTAATTTCTATTAATTTCTTAATATGATAATATTCTCTTCAATATTTCTCTTAAACAAATAAAAATATACCAAATTATTTTTGTTAATTCCATTTAAGAATCAGTAGATTTGAATTTTTTTCTTTTTCTAACTTTTTTTAATTTATTTATTTTTTTTTAATCTTCAGTAGTAGATTAATGAAATAGAATTTAAAAATATAAGTTTATAGTTTAATCTAATGCTTTTTTTTTTAATACGAAGAAATATAAATTCTACATCAACTTTATCTAAATGATATTAATAAGATGAAGAAATAAGAAATATTTGGAATAATTAATTAAATTTAATGTTACTTTCTCAGTATTTCAGATAATAGATTAAAAGAATAGTTCCCTTGTCAAATCAAATATTTAACATAGATGAATTTCTGTGGAGATATATAAATTAGTGTTGAATTTTATTTTTTTGATTTTTTTAAATTATTTCTTAATTTTAATTTAATTGATTTTATGTTAGCATCTAATTTTTTTCAAGAAAATTTAAGTGCAAAATTTAGAAAAGAATTCTTTAAAATTTTATAGATTTAAGATGTAAAAAGTTTAAATAATATGATTAATTAATATCTTTTAAAACATCCTTTCATAATTATACGAAAAAGATTATAATAAATATGTAATTCTTGTATTGACAAGATGATTCTTATTAAATCTCAGTTATCTATTGATATTTGATTCTTTTATGAACAAAAATTTACTACAATCAATTTTAATAAAATAAATATTGTTTGAATATATTAAAATTTGAAAAACTTCACTAAATCATTTTATTTATGATATACATAAATTAGAAACCCTTTAAGCTAATAAAAATTAATTTTAATAACAAAAATAAAAGATGATTTAAACTATGCCATCACATGAATAGTATAAATAATGTGAGTTTAAAAAAAAATACATCATTATACATGATCAGATTTATGGTGAAGGATGTTATGGATAAATATATTCATGTAAAAAATTGGATAATATTGACTAAAATATTTATTGTGTTAAAATTGTTCCAATAAATACAGAAGATATAGAAAATTTAGATGCCGAGTCTGATTTATAAAAAACAATTTCTGAGTTAACAAAATATCACTTAGTTTCAAAAAACTTAGTCTAAATTATAGAGATAATTTTGGATAATACAGCACTTTATATTGTAATAGAATAATGTGACTATGATTTAACAATTGAATTTGATTTATTAATTGAAGAAAAAAAATGGTACTAAGAAGAAGAAGCAGTTGAAATAATTTAATAGCTTATTACAGGTTATCAAGAATTGAATTCATTAAATATAATCCATCAAAATATTAAACCAGAAAACATATTAATTAAATATGAAAATAAAGGGAGACCTAATGAAAAAAAAGTATATAAAGTAATTATTATTGTGATTTATTAGATTTCTGATTTTTATATTGCAATTATATTATCAAAATTAAATAATAGGAACGATTTGATCAGAACTGGAAGTCCTAATTATTCTGCACCTGAAGTTTTTTTACGTGATGCAATTTCATCAAAAAGTGATATATATTCATTAGGAATGTTATTCTATTAGATTTGTTATTTATCTACATTCCCATATGATTGTAGCACTATGTAAAAAAGATATTAAAGCTTATAAAAATTAAAGAATAATCCTTTAGAATTTCCTCCACTTACTTACAATAATGCAGATATTACCAATCTCCTAAAACATATGATAGTTTACGATGAAAATAAAAGAATTTCATTTGAAGATGTTATTCATCATCCCATAATGAAACCTAAAGCTAAAGAAGATACTGCAGAGCTTCGAATAGAAGAAAGTACAAACTTTTAAAGTTCAAGACTTTTCGATAAATCATCAAATTTTCAAAAAAAAAGATTTGATTCTATTTTACTTAGATCATAAAGTTTACAGAGATTATTACAGTTATTTTATTTAAGATTTAAAATTTGTTAATATCTTCTATCCAAAATTAATGATGATCAAAATATGTTATTTTTAAAATTGAATATATACTTAATAGCTCGAAATGAAATATTGTATGCATTAGCAATCATTTTCATTAGACCATAAGAAATTCATCCATACATTTTATCTAATAATAATTAATTAATACTTTTTGATAAATTACGTGAGCTGTAAAATGAAATTTAAAACAATTAAGCAAATTTTAAATATTTCAAGAATTTGTAGGATTTTATTCATGTAGAATATCATCAATTTTAAGCTTAATTTAAAAAATTTTAGATGTTAATATATCTAAGACAAACATTTACTAATGAATAAGAATTATTTTTTGAATAATCTAGATCAAGACGTATTGAAACAACAAGAGTAATAAACAATATTATCATTTTTTAATAAACTTAGTTGGAGAATATAAGCAACGAAGAATAGCAACTTTTGGATTAAATTACTAAACTGGAAACCTTATATCCTGTAAGTGTATATTAAAGCAATAAGGATATAGCATCCCTATTTCCAATTTAAATTAGTAATTAAGAAAATGATTTTTGAATATAATCTTATTATGGGCACCTCATTATATATGTTATAATATATCCATAAAAGATAATAGAATTCCTAGATGTAAAATATGTTTCAATTAATTAATTTGTTTCGATGAAAGATTTCTTTGATATAAATATATTTGATTAAAAGGGCAAGATATCAATTTATGATTATTTTAACATTTTGACGGCCATAATTATATTCTCTTTTATTATGAAATAATTAATAATTTTAAAGATATATAAAATATAATAATTTATTTCACATAATAGCATATGAATCAAATAAATTATCTAATTTCTAGTGCCATACAAAAAAGTATAATAGTTAATATGTTGGGCTAATTTATTAATTTCTAATTTCAACTCTGGCTTATTTAAAAATGATTATTCTTGAGAATATAAGAATTGGATCTGCTAATACATAAAACAAAAAGAGTGAGCAAACAAAAATCAAAAAACTCTCTAAATTTATTTTATCAATATCTTCCTAACTAAAGATAAATTTTAATATTTACCATTGTCTCAATTAGATAATAAATTCAAGATAACAAAAGAAATGTATTAGACAGAATAAAATGATAATGGATATGCTCCATTTTCCACCAAATCTGTAAATAGATTGAATTATCTTAAGAATCATTTTGATTAAGAGAAAGAATCCACAATTTATTAGAAAAATTGTAAATATTGTAATTTAATTTAACCAGTATGTTTCTTCATAAACAAATGGTATTAGCAAACTTATTTTGATTGAAAACTATAAAAACCTATAGCTTTTTGTCAAAATTTTGCTTTCTGTATAAAATAAGGATAGTATTTCATGAATAAACTAAATATTAAAAATATTATAACTTTGAATGATAATTTGAATACAAATAAGTTTCCTGGATAAAATTCTAAGTTATTTCCTTTTCTATTTTATTCAACACTAATACTGTGATCTGTCTCTTCTTATTTAAATATAGATATTTAGTTTTTCTTTATTTCGAATAATAATAATTAAAAATATAAGAAGAAAGAAAAAGAAATATAGATACTATGAAATAATAGAATTGGGTTTTCGCTTAATTTAAGTTCTGAGTTATCCTTTTTAGGATGATTATATGGAACTTAAGTAATATTTTATTAAATTATTTAATTATTTTGATATCTGATTAAAAGGATGCTCCCTAATTATTCACATTAACAAGATACTAATAAAGTTGTTTTATTGATTTTTTCATTAAGAAGATCACATTTAAAGGATTTACTCTCATTATTAATAGTTACACATTGATAAGTAAAAAGATATTATTATGGAATTTGTTGTTCACAATATTAAAATTAAAACATGTCAATTATATATTTTTTAAGAGTATTTTTATATTCTATATAATTATTATTATAAAGATGATTTTTTAAATTAACTTTCTTGTAAATCTTTTCATCAATTTCAATAGTAGAATTTATATTAAATAAAGTTTATAATTCTTTTTATAATTTATCTGAGAGATTTAAATGATTGTAATTAAGATCAATTTGTTCTTTTTATACAAAATCAATCATTCCATCTAAAAAATCATTACTTATATCAAATTAACGATTGAAAAGTTCTTTGGTAATTTTAGACAACTACCATTTCAAAATTTATCCATTAATTATCAATTCTTAGCCATTTACTTAAGCTTAAATACTGATTTGATTTGCAATCTTTTCAATTAGACTTATTAAATCTATCGATATACTCATAATCTTTTCTTTATCTTAATTAGAAATGATTAAAGCTGTTTGTATTTTTTCAAATATATCATCAATCAAAAGTAAAAGAACTTATAAAGAGTTGAGAATAGCTTCTTTTTTCTAGTAAAGTTATTCATCCAAGAATATATCATTTGAATTTATTTAATCTACAAAATCAGTTTATTTCTAAATTAACTATTGAGTTACAGCTTTTATTTATTTTAATTCTGCTGACAAATTTGTTGGAGTATAAGTAGATAAATTGTTGATTTTTTAAGTTTAGAAATAAATCTATTAAGTAGAATTTTCAAAACATCTCTCTTGAGAATTATCATTTAATAATAGTCTTTTAGATTTTTTATTATTTTAATGTTAAATTAATCTTTTATACAATTTAGTAGTTTAATAAACTAATAGTTAATTATTAATATCTTCTGCCCCTAAATATGTTTTAATCTTGAAGTATAATTATTAGGATAATGAACTACAATCATTTAAATCCAGATGATTCAATAAGATTTCTAGAAATAATGAAATTAATTATTTAAAGTTATAATTATTGATATTAATCTCTAAACAATTCAGCTTTGTTCTAGTTACATTGATATGTTTTTCAATATTTAAATAAGATCCTTTTGAATCCATTGCTGATATTAATATTACACCATCAGTAAAAGGAAAAAAACCTTCAAATGTGTTGGAACTTTAAAAATTATTTAAAATTAAAGAATAATCAGAGGTTCTATTCTCAAAATCTATAAAATCTGTATTTGTAATAAAATATCTTAATTAATAAGTGAATGGAGCATTTTCAGTAAAATCACAAATAGTTATTATCTTATAAGGTTATAAAGCTTCAGTACTTTATTCAGCTAAACTTACTATACAAGTAGGAGGTAGATTTACTATTATTTATAAGTCTTCTTAACTAGGAACAATTTCATTGGTAAATTAAGCTAAAAATTTCAAATTAATTTGGTTTCCTCTATTAAATTCTTAAAAGTAATCAAAGATTCGAAATTGAAATGAAAAATATTCAGATTACAAAATCTTGATAAGTTCAAAATTATATATGATTGCTACTTGAAAATCTAAAATATATTATCTTTCTTCAAAAGGAATATTGATAATAAATTCTAAATTTTCATAGTTATTAATAGGTCTCATCTTGTAACCTTTTTTATAAGACACATTTAGTAATTTAAAATCATTATCGAGATATACAATATTTTGTTTAAATGTATAAGAAAATTGTTTTTTTGTAGCAACTACTTACCAACTTTATATAGTATATGGTTGTATAGTTTATTTTGGAATAGTTTAGACACTATCCGTTTTATTAATTTAGAGTATTTTTTTATTTAAATCCATACAATGAGTATTCATAGTTAAATCTACACATGAAACTGTAATTTAGATACCAGAATCTTCATTCCATGGATATTAAGTATCTAAATCTTTACATGATATAAATATTTAAGTTTCTTTTCTATAATTTTGAATTTTCTTCGTTCCATTAAATAAACACAATATTCCACCTGAACTGATTTCAAGTGTAATATTTCTAGAAATAGAAAAGTTCATTAATATATCAAGAGTAGTTTATTGGAATGTATATGCGATTCTAGATGTTAAAGTGTAATTTTAGATACTAACATTAAAGAAACTATTGCTTGTGATTTCTGAATGATTTACTCTTGATGATCTAGAATTAGAATCATTTCTATAAACTTCAACAATTGATACTTAATATTAAGAGTTATCAATTTAAATATTAGTAGTAGATTCAGAACAATCTTTCTTTTTTATTTAAAATTCTAATACAACAGTTTCAAATGCATAATATAATGGTTTAGAAATCCAAAGTATTGTAGGAAATTATCCTGAATGAGTTTAAAATTTGATATATTATGTACTTTTTTAAGATACAAAATTTAGAAATTCTATTACAAATGTAATATTAGATTATTTTGGTAGAGTTTAGAATGGTATAATTAATTCTAACATTTATTAATTGGTTAAGAAATCAACAAAGTTTTAGAGATTTCCATTTCCATTAGATCCATCAACTGAGAATTTCCATATAATTCCATTTAATCCTCTAAGTCCATCATTAATTTTTGATTTTAAAGTTATAGTATTATCATCACAAGGATTGATAAGATATGTAGGAATATCAAAAATGATTTTAGGAGAGACAGGATTAATCGGTAATTGAACTTAATTAAAAATAAAAATATTTAATTTTTAATCGCAGTCTTAATGACCAAAAGAGTTTTCATAAAATAATATTTTATCTCCTGGAATAATAGTAACTTATTATCCAATTTTCAATATTAATATTGTATTATCATTAGGATCAATATAACAAATAGGGTTTTTACCTAATGATTTGTATGTTTGTTCATATAGTATTTTTAAACATATATTATCTTAAAATTAAGAGACAAAGAATTTATGATCTAATGGAAAATCAAATTTGACTAAAATGGATAACAAATCATCAGAGAATCTTATATCAATAACAGCAACAGTACAAGTTGAACACCATGGAGTATTAATATGTGTAATAGAATCAGATGGTGGATCACATATCATTTCAGATGATAAGATTCTATTTCCATTACAAATTAAACAACCATCTATATTACATGTTTTGCATAATCGATCACAAATCTAACATGATTCATTAATGAAATCATCATAAAAACCATCTGGACATTTACATAAAGGGATGTTTATACGATCTCCTTTACAAATTAAACAATTTAATGAGGAATCTTTACATGCTTAACATTAAAAAGCACATTCTGAATTAATAAAATAAATTAAATACAAAGACAAAGTGGTTATCCACCTTCATAATAGCCATCTTCACATAAACATTATTATGTAAATCTACCTTCTTTACATGATAAACAATTGAACGAATTATCTTAACAAGTAACACATTGATTTTCACATGCTAATTATTGATCAATATTTACGTTAACAATTCTAGAAGGAATCCTCATAAAATCCTTATTTACAATTACAAATAGGTGGTGTATCTCTAAGGTTACTAGAACAAGTTTAACAATTAGTCGAACTATTTTAACAAAGTTTACAACGAATACTGCATTTTAAACAATCTACTTAAGTACCGTCATCATAATATCCATCTTTACAAATACAATTTTTAGATAAAGATTGTCTATTCGATGTTATAGATGTAGAACAACTCATGCAATTATTACTTTATTATTAACATGTGGAACATTGAAGATGACATTCTAATTGTTATAAAATATATACTTTAACAATTTTCATTATTATCTTAGTAAAAACCAGATAAACAAGGACATTTCTTAATTATTGATTAATCTAATCTATTCTAATTAATATCACAACTTGTACAATTATCTCTTTTACCTGAACATGTATAACATTAATTAGAACATTCTTTAAATTTTAATTATTATAATTACTTTCACATATCAATTAACCATTATCATAGTATCCATTTTAACAAATACATTGATTAAAACTTAATTATCTAAAATGTTAAGTTTCAAAACATGAAAAACATTTAGTTGAACTCATTTAACATGTTTTACATAATTTATTACACAATTAACACATCTCAATTCCAACATCATAATATCCATCTAAACATAAACATTAATTATAATTTAGAACTCTAAAATGAATAGGTTCACATGATAAACAGTTTGTAGATAGATTAATACAAGTTTTACAACTTAGATTGCACACTATAATAATAATATATAACTATTTAATACATTAACATTTCTTAAGATTTGTATCATAATAACCATCTTTACATGGACATTTTAAATTCTCTGCATCATAATACCGAGTAGAAATCTCACATTCTATACATTAAGATAATGTTTAACATTCCTTACATTAAATATTACAAGCTATAGTTAATTAAATAAAATACCTTCACATTTTAAATTAGAAGTATTAAAATAGAATCCTGATGAACAAATACATTTATTCTAATTGTTCAAACTTAAATTGTATTATGAATCACAAGACATACAATGAATAGCAGATATCATACATGTTAGACAAGATAAATCGCATCTTTAACAACTTAAAGTAACTAAATCTTCATAATAGCCATCTTAACAAATGCAAATATTTCCAGTCTTAAAGATTCTATTTTTATCTGCTGAACAAGATGTACAATAATTTTCTTAATTAATACATGTTTAACAAGTTGTATTACAATAGAGACATTATTTATCATTACCACTTTCATATGTTCCATCTATACATTAACATTTGTTGTTTATTAATAATTTCAATGTTTTACATGATGTACAATAATTAATGTAATTCAAACAAGTTAAACATCCAAGATCACAATTCACACATGTTCCATTTAATTCTGTACTACCATCTTTGCAAATACATCTATGGGTAACTTTATCTAATATTCTTTATAATGTTAAATCACATTCACTACAATTTTTAGAACTAATTGAACAATTAATACAATTATCATCGCATTTTAAACATTTATCTCCTTTATTATCATAATATCCTTAATCACATATACATGTATTCCCATCTAAATGTCTAGTTGTTGGACATGATGTACAATTATCTTCTTTATTTTAACATGTAAAACATTATATCTGACAATTCTTACAATTTGGAGAACTTCCATCATCATAATATCCATTTAAACATTAACATACTCTATTATTCAAAACTCTATAACTAATTGATTTCTCTAAACAAGATTTGCATTAATCCTTTCCTTAACCATTACAACCTAAACAAGAATAATGACATTATGAACAAATCTCTACTCCAGAATCATAATAAGATTCTTAACAACTACATGTGAACAATTATTAGTTGTATTATCTATTTGATATCAATGAACAACTATCACATTTAGTCTCTTTAGAACTACATTCACTACATGAATAATGACATTCTACTTCTATAAATAATATTTACTTTAACAGAGTACATTCTATCCATCATCATAATACCCCTTCTAACATTTGCATTATTAATTTACTAAATTTCTAAAACTGTTTTAATAACAAGATAAACAACTTGTTTCTATGCCTGCACAATTCTCGCATCTGTAATTGCATTCTTATTCAATTACCTAAATTTGTACCTAAACATTTTGGTTTCCCATTATCCAAATAATGAGGAACGCAAATACAACTTCCATTTTATAACACTCTCATTTCACTATCTAAACAAGATGTGCATTTGCTAATTGTAGACCCATTACAATTTAAACAAGAGTAATGACAACCTAACTTAATCAAATTCTATACTTTGACATTCAGTTTTGCCTTAAACTTAATAACTACTAATCATGGCTCCATTTAACTTAGTCTTACATACACATATATTGTCTTATAAATATCTATCTGATTTGCAAGAAATACAATTATCAGCAGTATTTAAACAATTTAAACAATAAGGGCTACATGCTAAAGTTTTAAAAGTTGTATACTTTTGCATTCAGGTTATCCAACATCATAGTATTTATTAATACATAAGCATTATCCTAATAAATCCAATTATCTCATTATTTAAACATTACATGATGTGCATTAGTTTTATTGATTTCCATTACATGTTAAACAAGTATTATGACAAACTAATTAAAATCTATGAAATACTAATGCAAATAGGATTCCCAGGTTCATCATAAGATTTTATTGGACACGAACAAGAATTATTAATTCCAAGATCTCTAAAAGAGAAGCTAGGACATGAAGTACAATTGTCTATTGTTCCAATGCAATTTGCACATCGATAAGAGCATTCTATGATTATCAGATCTTTAATACTGTAACACTAAGGATCTCCAGTTTATTTTTCCATATATGTATCTAAACATAAACATTTATTGGCTTTAACTTCTCTATAGTTACTTATTGAACAAGTTAAACAATTATCTACTTCTGGACCAAAACATGTTAAACAAGTATAATGGCAAGCTAAAATAATTAATAAAATAATTACGAGAACATTACAGTAAACCAATATCATAATATCTATTAGGACAAATACATTTAAACATAACTAATTATCGAAGGGTAAGATCACATGTTAAACAATTATTTTCATAGATTCCATTACATGTTTTACAAGTGAAATGACATGGTAAACATTCTAATTGTAAATTATCACTGAAATAATGAGAGTCTTTGCAAATGCATTTAAAAGTTGTTCCACTTCTATCAGGTAATCGAGTAGATGGACAACTTGTGCATTTATCTTCTCCAGAGATATCACAATCAGAACATGAACTATGACAAATATCTAGAAATGATAATAGTATAAATATAATTACATAAACACTTGATATCATTAATACCAGAATCAATATATGCTTTATTGCATAAACATTGATTATCAAATGTAAGATGACGATTAGATTAAATTGAACAAGAAGTACAATCGGTTGCTAAAGAACCTTTACAATTTTCACATGTATAATGACATTCTATAATAAGTGGATATATATTTACAAACACAAACATCAGAGATACCATCATCACCATACCCTCGTTTACAAATACAATTAAGATCATCAGAAACAACTCTATTTAATCCTGTTCTACACATAGTACAATACTAATTGGATGTATTATCAAATGGTTAATAACATTTTTCACAATTAGAATGACAAGCTATAAATATATATTAATATAATAAAAATAAGTACGTAAACAGAGCGACGTACCATCATTTTATATAGATTCTATAGTTCTAATAGCGCAAATACATTATCCAGCCACTAATTATTTATGAAAGATATTCGGATCTCCACAATCAGTACAATCTTCAATAGTAGGTCCATCACATAAATAACATGATGGATAACATACTAATTATCATATATAATATAAAATTACATTGGCAAATTTTATCATCAACTCCAGTATTATAACATCCTTTAGAACACACTATTAAATTTATTAAATTAAATAATACTTTAACATTCAGATCCAGTAGGTCCTGTACATTAATCACAATTATCAGTGCATGATCCATAAAAAATAACAAAATCTCTTAATCCAAAAGACTCTCCATCAAAAGATTCATCAAGTGTTGTTGTAAATTTAATTTCAACTTAATTATTTGAATGAATTAAATCCTATTCAATTCGAACAAATATAGTTCTATGTCCAGCATCCCAATCACCACATATTTTACCAAAATAACCTTCATACCATTAGAATCTTCTTTCCCATATTAAAACATTATCTACTCTCATTTAAGCAGCTTCATTGTCCCATGAATCAATTTTAGCCCATAAAATTTATATCTTCAATTTATAATGTGGTGGTATATTATAAAAAGTCTTACTGATTACTGTTTTTGTTCCTGTCTTCTGATATCCACCAAACAAAGCAACAGCTAAATAATTTTATTTAATTTTACATCCACATTATGTAGCCTCTCCAATACCTGAAAATACATTCCATCCATCTATAACTATTTCATTTATATTCATTTATGTCCAACTACTCTTTAAAAATTTCCAAACATAACAATCAATTATTGAATCATTTAATTAACATATTAAACATCCCTCTGGACACATTTCAACTGATAATATAAAATCTCTAATTCCCCAAGATTCCTTAATAAATTATTATCTCTATATTACATTTTCAGGTCCTTCATCTATATTACTTGTAACTACAATCACTGCTGTACTGCCACTATGCTTTATTTTTAAATTCAAATTTATGTATGCTTCTCTCCAATCTCCTCCTCCTCCACACATTTATGTTCCATCATAGTATTGATATCTTTTCGACCATCCCATCTGATAATCCACAAATATATAACCATATTCATTATCCCATGAATCAATTCTATATTTCTTATAATCTTTACTTCCAAAATTACACATCTAAATTTATTTAAGCATGAGGTGGAAGTGAAAAACTTTTACTTATACTTATTCTTCTTCCAAAACCATTAAAACCACCAAATAACCTTTAACCCATACAATCTGTATACATTTCTTGCCCTCCACTTACAACCCAATCTAACTTACATACATATTTTATTACTATCTGAATCACTAAAATTATTTCCTTAAAATGAAGACGAGATCACTTATTATACACCATAGATTTCCATTATACTACTCATATAAATAACGAATCTAAAGATTTATCCAATCATTAATTAAATTAATGGAAAAATGTTAATCAAGGACAATTTTCAAATCAATAACTTTATATGACCCTATAAATTAATTACTTTACTTAGAAATCATATTAACTATTTAGATACTCTTTATGCCTCCTTAATAAAAATACTTTAACTGAAAAATAAACCACTTTTATCAAAAGACTTTTTGGTAATAATTAAAAATTAAGTTTTTCATATTGGTATTCAAATTTTGCATTCTTTTTTAATTATTACTTCCAAAAAAAATACCCAACTTAGACTTTTTTTTCTATCATCCTTTTAAAGTTTATTTACTCATTTAAAAAATAAAACCATTTTCTAAATATTCAGTAATACATGTAATACTAAATTTTACTATTCCTTTATAAAACATTCAATATTTCATTCACTTTTTAAATCTTTAAACTATGTAAAAATTTTTAATTCTATTTTGTTATCATATCCTTCATCAATAATTAAACAACACTTTAGTTCAAATTTAAGATCTTAAATTATACTTATAAATTTAATAACTTAACATAAAAAAACAACATTTACAAAATAGAATTTTTTTTCATAAATTTTTTTTATTATAGTGGATAATTATTTGAAAAATGGAAGATTTATTACAAAATTCCCTAGACTAATTTTTCCTCTAATTTTCAACATAAATTTACTTTTTTGTAAATAAAATAGCCCATCAATCATTCAATATTGAAGAAGCTGATAAAAACTAAAATAATATATATTAAACCATAAATTAATATCTGCCTTGTTCTCTCTTAAGTCTTGAATGAGATATTTGATAATTATTTTTATAATTGTTTTCATATTAAATAATAACTCATATTTATTTAATTAATCCTATTATTTTCTACTAAAAACTAATTTGTAAGATTAAGACTAATTAAATCTAATAGATTTTATAACATACTATAATAAACTTTAAGATCAATATTTTCAATCATTAAAAATTATTTATGGTTTCTATCAATCAACTGAAATGATCAATGTTAACTATCTGCCTTTTATTTATTGAAAATCTTTAAAATTGATTATGAAAATACGAAAGAGTAAAATATCTTAGTGTCTATTTATAAGATTAAGGTCTTAAGATAATAGAATCAATAATAATATATCCTTTCTTTATTTTTTCCTTTAGATTTTAATGTATTTTTTAAAAATCTATTAAATAAAAATAAATACTTTTATTTAATAACATTTTGATTAGTAAAGTATAATAAAAAATAATNACTCTTTATGCCTCCTTAATAAAAATACTTTAACTGAAAAATAAACCACTTTTATCAAAAGACTTTTTGGTAATAATTAAAAATTAAGTTTTTCATATTGGTATTCAAATTTTGCATTCTTTTTTAATTATTACTTCCAAAAAAAATACCCAACTTAGACTTTTTTTTCTATCATCCTTTTAAAGTTTATTTACTCATTTAAAAAATAAAACCATTTTCTAAATATTCAGTAATACATGTAATACTAAATTTTACTATTCCTTTATAAAACATTCAATATTTCATTCACTTTTTAAATCTTTAAACTATGTAAAAATTTTTAATTCTATTTTGTTATCATATCCTTCATCAATAATTAAACAACACTTTAGTTCAAATTTAAGATCTTAAATTATACTTATAAATTTAATAACTTAACATAAAAAAACAACATTTACAAAATAGAATTTTTTTTCATAAATTTTTTTTATTATAGTGGATAATTATTTGAAAAATGGAAGATTTATTACAAAATTCCCTAGACTAATTTTTCCTCTAATTTTCAACATAAATTTACTTTTTTGTAAATAAAATAGCCCATCAATCATTCAATATTGAAGAAGCTGATAAAAACTAAAATAATATATATTAAACCATAAATTAATATCTGCCTTGTTCTCTCTTAAGTCTTGAATGAGATATTTGATAATTATTTTTATAATTGTTTTCATATTAAATAATAACTCATATTTATTTAATTAATCCTATTATTTTCTACTAAAAACTAATTTGTAAGATTAAGACTAATTAAATCTAATAGATTTTATAACATACTATAATAAACTTTAAGATCAATATTTTCAATCATTAAAAATTATTTATGGTTTCTATCAATCAACTGAAATGATCAATGTTAACTATCTGCCTTTTATTTATTGAAAATCTTTAAAATTGATTATGAAAATACGAAAGAGTAAAATATCTTAGTGTCTATTTATAAGATTAAGGTCTTAAGATAATAGAATCAATAATAATATATCCTTTCTTTATTTTTTCCTTTAGATTTTAATGTATTTTTTAAAAATCTATTAAATAAAAATAAATACTTTTATTTAATAACATTTTGATTAGTAAAGTATAATAAAAAATAATAAAATATAATTAATCTTTATAAATATAATTATTGTAAATTATTACTACAACTATTTAAATAATTATGCTTCCAATTCAAATTGTTCATAAAGGGCAATTGCTTACTGAAAATAACTATTTTAATATACGAATGAGATAATGAATTAACATTTTATATTTCTAGGTCAATTTAAAATCTCTTTTTTATTTCTAAGTCTAATAAAGTTTAGTTTCAATAAAAGTATGAAATTATTGACTTTTGTTTCTATGTTTTTATAACTTGTATATTTAAAACAAAAATTTAGACTTTGTTTTTTAGATAAAGCAAACAAAATTACTTATTAAATATTTGGATTCGATGCAATTCTATACAATTTTCAAAAAATTGTCAACATTTCTTTTTTATTTCCTGAAATCTGATACCATTATGAAGGAATTTAGTATATAAATTTCATTATAAATTCTAAACTTTTGAATTTTTAGGTATAAATAAACCTTGATTTTTCCAAAAATTTATGAAAAAGAGAGGCTTTAGAGAATAGTCATTTGTTTATATAAATTTAATAAAATATTTAAATTTTGATAATGCTATCAAAATAGCAGTAATAATTATAGGAGATAGTATCACAGAGCATATTGAAAACGTAAGTTTAAATGATAATTAGATCTACAACAAAAGCAACTTAGAAATTAAGTTAATCTTTTAATCCTAATGGATTGATAGGTTAATCTTTAAGTCCAACCCAAAAAGCAAATTAAAGTATGGGATTAAAAAAAGGGAACAATTTAAAATAGTATCAATAAGAGTTGCTCAAATTGATGACAAGCCATAAGCAATTATAATCTGGTACTAAAAAGGCAAATATGTCTGATATGATGAGTTAATAAAAAGAATCTAAACGTCTTTCATCAGGTATAAGTTAACCTTAAAAATCATAAACATCTAACAAAATAAGCTTTGTAAATCCAGCAAATTAGATAATAATAATTGTAAATCATGAAAATCAACAAATAAAATTCAATATAGATCCTCAAAAATCAACAGGATGGCTGGAAGAATATTTGAAATAAGAAGTAAAAAAACATTCTATACATCAATATTCATCAACTGGATCTTAGCCTGATGAAAGAAAAGTTACTTGTGGAACAGGTAATGAGTCATCAGATTTGGAAATTGTATCGTTTCACACTGTTGATAAAAATTTACCAATAGATTATTATTTGTAATAAGCAAATAAAAGTTTAGAAATTTTTAGTGGGTAAACATTAAATCTTTAACCATTTTATGGAACTCCTTAGTAAAGTAAGATAACTCTGAAAGATTTTATATTTGTAAAATGTATAGGAGTTGGAGGATTTTCAAGAGTTTATATGGTAAAGAAAAAATCGAATGGAAGATTTTATGCAATGAAATTAATTGATAAAGAATTTATAATGAAGCATAAAAAATAAGGTAGTAATTTAAATTAATTATTTATTAGGTATTGTTTAAAATGAACGTGACATAATGACAGTGCTCGATCATCCTTTCATAATTAAATTAGAGCATGCATTTGAATCAAAGAATTTTATTGTTTTTGTATTAGAATTTTGTAGTGGTGGAGAATTGTTTTGGTAATTAAGATAAGTGAAAAGAATGACTGAGGAACAAGCTCGTTTTTATTTTACTGAGATTTGTTTAGCTATGTTTTATTTACATTCATTGTCAGTTGTTTATAGAGATATAAAACCAGAGAATATTTTAATAGATATTGATGGACATATAAGAATAGCAGACTTTGGTTTATCTAAACCAAATATGACTGAAGAAGATTATGCCTATAGTTTTTGTGGATCTCCAGAATATATGGCTCCTGAAATGTTATTAAAAGTTGGACATAATGTATAAGTTGATCATTATTGTATGGGGGCTTTACTTTTTGAATTAGTAACAGGATTACCTCCGTATTATTCAAGAGATACAGATGAAATTTATGAATCAATACTTAATGAAGAATTAACATTCCCAGAAAAACTAAATTTATCACCAGAGATAAAAGTACAATTTAATTATTATTATAGGATTTGTTATAAGGATTATTGTGTAAATAACCATCTGAAAGATTAGGTGCAAATAAAGGATTGACTGAATTATTAACCCATGCTTGGTTTAAAGATGTTGATTTAGTTGCTATTTTATAAAAATAGATTCCACCACCATTCAAACCTAACTAATTGAAATTTAATTATGATTCGAACGATTTAATGAAAGGTGAATTAGAAACAAGAGAAAAACTTTTAGGAAAAGCTGGTCTATAATAAGAAATAAGAATATTTAAGGCATTCTATTTTGATTGTTATGAACAAAAATAAATGAAAACTGAATAAGCTAAAATTCTATAATAACATTTTATGATGGTTACTTAATAATAATTAGCTTTGAATTAGAAATTTAAACCTTAAAGAAAAAGCACTGAACCAAAAGAACATTAATCCAAACCGGCATCTCCATAAACTAGAAATCAAAAATAATAAAAATTCACTTAAGAATAATTTTAATCTCTGTAAAAAAGGATTAAGTCATAGTAAATTTTTACATAATATGATAGATAATCATCTATGAGTAATGTATAATAAATAAGTACTATTCCAAGTCCTGCTTAATCTAAGATATAAGGTTTAAATAGAATCATTTCTTAAAATAATTTTTTTGCTGATAGATAGAATACATTGCCAGCTGGATAAAAAGATGGGAATATAGATTACCATTAATTATTATCAAATGTTTCAACAGAATAAATTTTACATAAAAGAGTATCATCTTTAAAATAAAGAAAAAAATGAATTACTAAAAACAATAAATTAATTTTATAATTTTGAATTTTCTTTTTATGAATCGGAATAAAGACTTAGATGAACTTCTTTTCTAAAAGAATAATAATGATTTAAAATAAGACTTAGAGAAACCTCCATATTCAAACATAGATATTACTATAACATCTTATAGTGAAATATCTGATGGAACTCCTAATAAATTTCCAATTAAGAAAGTTTATACAGAATAAAATTGTTGTTAACATCAAAAAAAAAGAATATTAACTTAAGAAGAATAAATCCATTAATAAAATATTATGTAAGCATCTAATTCAATTTTGGAATCTATGACACCTTAAAAAATGAATAATTTAATTGATTGGTCTAAATATAATGTAACACCAGGGGATGGCAAAAATATATTTCCATAAGTTTAAGGACCAAGTATTGAATTTTCAAATGAAAATTCATTAAATTTTAAATAACCGTAAAAACTTAATTTAAACTCTGATATTCTCTTAAATAAATATATTGAAATAGAAGAGAGATTAAAATTATTATAGGCAAAGCATAAAGACTTTTCAACCCTTGAAACTTTAAGAGGAAAAAATCTTTAAATTGCCACTTAAAAAATAGTTAGTTAGCAAGATGTTATTCGAGCAAAAGATAAAATAATAGATGAATTAAATTTAGAAATAAAAAAAATGAAAGAAAATGATGTTTAAATAAAGGATCTAGTTAAAGTAATTGAACAAAAGGACTAAATTTTAAGTGAATTCAATAATAAATCTGATAAGGATAGGATAATAGAAAATTAGGAACAATAAATTCAAAATCTAACTAGCAGATTAAAAAAAGAAATAGAATATAGAAAACAGGATGAAAACATATTGTCTGAAATTAAACTCAAAGAGATTAAAAGATCTAGTGTTTTAGAACTTAATACTAAATGCTAATCTTGTAGTTAAAGTAAATAAGAATTGAAAAATATATTATAAGAATGTTCAATTGAAGATGAAAAGAATATTTTAGATGGGGATATGCCAGTTCCAATGTAAATAAGAGAAGTAGTTACTCTACTATTAACAAAATAAAGAGAATAAATTGATATAGCATTCTAATAATATGAAGATTAATTAAAAGAATTATCTGATTAAATTGAATATTTTAAAGAATAAAATAATAATTTAATTGAGGAAAACAATAAATTACAAAATTAATTATCAATTATTTTAAATTAAAGAGGAGAGCAAGAAAAAAAATTGTATGAAGAATTTGAAAAAGTAAAGAAGATCAATATCCTTTTGATTTAAGAAAATTAAGCAATTAAAAAATAATTCTAAGTATAATCTCCCAGAAATAATGATCATTTAAAATCTATAGATACAGATAATTTAGGCCATTTCAAATCTATATAAACTGATAGATCTAGTTTAAATAATGAAATAGTTCAAATAAAATAATAATTTTAAAATTAGATAAAGGATTTATTATAAAAAATATAAGACTAAGAAGAGTAAATATAATAATTAAAGAATGATTCATTTAAAAATTTATCTTCATCCAAAAGGGAGTAAAATTAAAAAAATCAAATTAGTTAAAATGAAGTGAAATAATAATAATAACAACTCAAAGAAAAAGATAAAAAAAATATAGAACTTTATTCTTAATTAAAATAATTGTAGTCAGTATAAAAAGAGAATGAACAAGTAATTTTAGATCTTAAAAATGAACAAGAAAAATAAAGAAAGACACTTTAGTAGAAGAATAATGAAGTTAAGTAATTAATAGAATAGAATAAAATATTTTAAGATAAAAATACAGAGTTTAATTAATAGATACTTTTGCTTTAATAATAATTAATATAATAGGAAAATGAGATAAAAATAAATGATTATAAATAATCACCTAATAATAAGAGTATGGAGTAAGGAAGAGTAGTTAGTTAATATTTATAATAAAATTTGAGTTAATAATAATTAAATCAATTAGTGGATGAATACAAGAGTTATCAATAAGAGTTTATAGATTTGAAATAAGTATTTACAGAGAAGATTAGATAATGTGAAATTTTATAAAATGTATAATTAGTAATAATTATTATTAGAAAATATCAAAACTTTAATAAGAGAATAATGAATTGGTTTAGGTAAATTAAAAGTTAATGATAGAGAATCAAAATCATAAGGATGACAAAATAACAAAAAGAATATCTGAAGAAATTACAACAGGAGTAAGATGTTCTGCAGCTACTGGTGATTCAATCAATATTAAATCATTTATCTAATAAGGAGATGAAGAATACATGAAGAGAAAACAATTAAACATTTTAGATTTGATATAACCAGAATTAATGTCTACTGAAGAAACTTTATATATTCTAAAAGAAATATTAATTCGATCTGTAAAATCTATAGAATTGATAAAATAAATATATTAGATTGCTGAACTAAAAGAATTATTGTTCATTTTTCAATAAGTTGATGAAAAGCATTAGAGTTCCAATAAAAAATTGACAAAGGTGATTAGTTGTATTTTAGGAGAAAAAAGAAAAATAAAATATACAAATAGAAGTGAAAAGGCAGATTTCTATAATTCTTGATATGATCTATAAGAGTCAATATTTTTTTGGAATTTGTTTTCCAATTGATGTTTATTTTTCTAATCCAGATTTCTTATGAATTTACAATCTACTCTCTCTTATAACTGACTCAATGTACTTTTTATCAAAATATTTATTGTAAAATTCTTTCTAATCATTTGAATTAACACTTTGTATTGGTTCAATGTATTATTAATATTAATTTTTAATATTTTTAATTAAATATGATGTTTCTTAAAATATCTCTTAATTTATTTGATTTAAACTTGTTTAATCTTTTGCTTATTTTTATGGTGAATATAATTGTGTAGCAGATGCTTATAATTTTTAGATACCTTCATAACTTCGATCTTAGCAATCAGACAAGTATAAATAGATGTGATGTTATTCCTTTTAATAATATATTGAAAATATCATACTTTCATTTTTAATTTAGGGTTGAGTCTCAACTTTGTTTATGAAGATTGTGTTTCTGACTATTGAACACTCTACTATGGAACTAACAATGGATTTAACTAAAGAGACAAAGCTATTGGTTAACTTAATTCATTTTAACATAGATTACTTTCCTTCTTCATCTTTATTTTCATAGCTTCCTGGCTATTCTTAACTGTCTTATTACTTCAACGGAGGATTTGGCTAATATATACTTAAGATTATACCTTTGACCGCTTACGCTTAAGTGTAGCAGCCTTTTTAAAAACTAAAATTAAAGGAAACTTACCTCTTCTTGACGTTCTTTCTCTTGTATACGTTGTAAATACTATTTTATTTTTCTTTCTTCTCTTGTTGAAGTTTACTCATTAATAATTAACGATTATGAAGATCCTTTTGACAGATTTACTAATTCTGCTGCTTTTACTTATTTCTTTTATTATTCTTCCTATGAAGATAATAAACTTGAGTTTTCTTGACTCTCTCCCTTTGATTATTATTCACTCATTATTATTTAAATTAATTTAAAGATATTTATTTTTCTCTCAAATTAAGAATTTAAAACTTCAATTAATCCTATTCATCTATTAGCTTTTTTTCTTTCAATACTTCAAATCAATTTAATTTTACTTTTTTTTATTTTATATTATACAAAATTTAAAGATAAAATTAATGTATTCATCATTCAATTCTTACAAATACATATATTATGCAATTTAATCTTATCTTTAATTTATATAATCATGTTCAAAAAAAATATCTTAACTTTTATAAATTCATTTCTTAAATTTATTTTAATAAATGAGAAGCATAAAAGACTCATTTCTAATATTATTTTGTATAACATATTGTCATAATAAGAAATCTATATTTACATCTAATTTATATTAAAGATGATTATTCTCAAAAGAACTAATTTAGTATATAAAATTATGAAAATATTAAAATTAAAAGTTAAATTTGAATTATCATAATTGTAGGAGATGATCCCAATCTGTAGATTCAGTAATTTTGGAAAACAAAGGATCAATAACAATTTTAAATGCATGATCTATCATTTTTGGTATCAATTCTTTTAATAATGGTGATGACTCTTCTAAACATGGATTAGTATTAATTTCAATAAGCCATGGTTTTAAGTTTTCATCTAACATAAAATCATATCCAAAAATTTCAAATGAATATTTAATTTTTTTAAATGTATGTTAAACAGCCATCCATGATAAAACAATAATTGATTTAATTTTTGGCAAAACAGTTTTAGTAAATTCTCCATTAGTATAATAATCTAATTCTGAATAAGATATTTAATTTCCTAATTCAAAAAAGCCATAATTTTTAGAATGTTTTTAAACTGCATTATTTGTTAAATGAATAAATGCATCTAATTATGTAAGATCAAACATTTCTGAAGATAATCTAGCATATCCCTGATTAAATATATAAATATCAAAGTTATGATTAACCAAAACCCAAACTCTAATATCGAATTTTCTTCCATCTAATAATAATGGTCTTTAAATGTACTTCTAAATTACAAAAGATGATGATTTAATTTAACCTTAACTAAACTGATATTCAGAAGTTCCTTTAATAAAATTTTTAAGTAGGATTTTAAGTTCTTCAAGAGTTCTAAAAAATGAGATTCCTCTTCCTCTATTAAATTCATTTGGTTTTAATATCTTAAATAATTAGAACAATTAAATACCCAAATATAATTATTTTCTTAATCTAAGAAGGAAGAATGCATTTTAGGTTGGATATATTGATTATTCAATTTAATGGGAACATTAAAATTAGATGTATTTTTTTTGTTATTCTGAGGTTTTAATTATTCATAGAAAAGTGTAAATTCTTTAAGAATTTTGTCAAGATCATTTTCTTTTGTAAGCAGTTCAATATTAAAAGATAATGGAGTAATATCCCATACATATCGTTTATTTGATTAGCAAAATTATTTTAAATTTTTGATTAAATTACATTTCATAGTGAGTTCTCTATGATTGGGTAAATGATTAACAATTTAAATTTGCAATGAGCTAAGAATATTGAATCTAAAATAGTTATCATTCATATTCCATTAAAAATGAAGTAAGTGATTATCTGATTCTTGCCAATTCTTTCTTTTTTTTATAGTATCAATTATAAGTTTGCTATTGTTTCCAGGAGCAACATAATAATAATGAACCTATGGATTTAATATTTTAAGAGAGTATCGAGGAATAGAATTCAATGAAGAAGATATTGGTTGATTTTGATCTAAAATTTATTATTGTAACATTTAATTTAATTATTAGATTTTTTAGAAATTAAGAATGCAACATAAGAATATCGCTAGAATTGACTAAGTTATAAAATTTTAGATATATTTTTGTTTAATATGTATTTGGAAAGATATATTATTATATAAATTAGGAATTTTATTAAAAATCATTTAATAATATTTGGATATATTGGTTTTAAGATGGAAATATATAAATTAAGATATAGCTATAGTGTAAATTGAGGTAAATTCGCTTTTATGATTGTGAATAATTGAATTGATATAAACCTAATTATAGATAATTGATTAGATTATAATCACATAATTATAAATGAATGATGATTATAAGAAAAGTTTTAAAATATATGAATGGAATATCATATATAATTTGTTTAAGGAATGTTTAAAAAATGGTTTTAGGTAAGAGAAATTCTAAAATTAAAATAGAAATGATGGAATGACATTTTAATAAGAGAATATTTTATTTAGTATGGATTGAAATCATGTTATGATGATTGCAGATCTACTAATCAAATAGCTGATATTTAAATTATTCAATGCAAATGATAGTACTTAAAAGTGAAAATTTAATAATGATTTATTTAGGTATTACCAATAAACTCTATCCATTCTTATGCTATCCTAAACTCTATTTAAATTGCTTATTCTCAATTGCCCTAATAGAATCATAAAAACAAGACCATTAAGTACATTTTTTAATGAATAAAACCGTTATTCTAAGAACTAACGTTTAACAATCTAAATTAACTTAATTACTCAAAAATTATCATTTATGAATAATACTATATTGAATAATAATTCTAATATGTTTTCAATTATAAAAAATGAATCAATTTTTAATTATACTTAGATCAGACATTTAATATTCATTCCTTTACTAAATATTATTAAATTTTTTCATATATTTTTAAGAAAATGGTGTTTCTTATTCTTTTCTTCTCTTATTTTCATTATTCATAAATTTTTTTTTTATAAATTTAATATTCTTTAAGAATAATAATCATTTTTATTCTATAGAGTCAAAATTACTAATACTATAGATAAAATTACAAAAGAAATCACTTTTAATTTTAATAGCAATTTAAAGATAAGTTACAATAAAAAGTGAGAGTAGATTTAAATTAATTAAGAGTTAAATAGCCAGAAGTTAATTAATTGAAGTATAAACTTGTTTAGAATTACTTTAGATATATTAATTAATCATTTAAAAACTTTTAATTCTTATTGATCAAGTAATTCATCATTTTAAGTTTATTTTTCTTCACTTCTTTTCTTAAAAGCTCTAATACAAGCTAATAAAATGACTCCACAAATAATTGTAAATAATGCAAATAAATGTATTGTTGATCTTTTGTCAACAGTATAATTTTCTACCTTTATTAGTCCTTTAATTAATGGAATTAATGGTTCAATTTATGCTTTAGGTTGTAAAGATTTAGAATAATTTTATAATATGAGAATTTGTTCAGCTGTTATTGGTAAAGAATCAGATAAAATAAAGATCTTTTTACCACAATTCTCATATTATACAAAATAATCAACATCTTTCAATTGTTCTGCTAAATCAACTAATCTTAATTAGAAATTATTTTATATTTAAAGAGTAGGATTCTCTCTTATATCATTATTAGTTTCAACAGGAATTACAAGTTAAGCATATGTTATGTTTTCTAATTCTGTTGTATTAATTTGATACATATTTACTATTATTTCACATTTTGCTTCTTCTTCATCTGGTATCATATGAATAGCTGGACAATAAATCTCAAAATTTGATGGTCCAAATATTAATGAGGATTAAAGAATTTGTATCTTTGATTTATCATTAATTTTAAAATCCTCTCCATAACCAATTATATATTCTCCTTCTAATCTTATTATGATTTCAGTTTCAGATTTTTATTTTTCTATAGAAGTAGGAATTTAAAGATAAGCATTCTGAATACATTGAGCATTTATTATAATAAGATAAGAGAGACAATAAATTATCATTTAATAAATAAATGAAATTGCCTGTTAAGATAATTATTAATTATATATTTATAAATGAAAAAACTCTAATAGATTGAGAATATTAAACCTTTAAATACAGAATTTAGATTAACTGATTTAAATTATCTATTGAATGGTAATTGTTATTGAAATATAACAAAGGAGGAAAACCTAAAGAGAAGTATCTTTTGCATCATATATTTCAACATTTTCATCAGGATTCTGAACTTGCCAAAAAATTGACAAACATTATACTGATATACGAAAACCCAAATGAATACGATAAAGAAAAATGGACTCCATTACATCTAGCTGTGAGATATAATTAAAATAAAGCAGTGATTTATGCCAAATAAATTGGATAATTTAATTTTCATATTCTTGCAGGACAATAAGGTTTATCATTGATGCATTTAGCTGTTTTGAAAAGCAATTATGAAATTATTGAAATCTTAATTGTAATTTCAATAATAACAATTAGGAAGAGAAAGTATCACTATTTACTGAAAATGCTGATGGAATATTACCTAGAAGATATGCACTATAATCTCCAGTAAATTTAAAAATGATTAAAAAATATGAGAATAGATAGATAATGACATTTTTAATAGATCTTGAGGATATAGATGATGATGAATCTACTCAAGCTAATAAAGTTTAAAATTTAAATGTTTCTTAATAATCAATAAAATAAGGAGAGGCATATGATGTTCTAATAACTAGACCAAAAGTATCATTAACATACCATGTTTAACAGAAATAATTTAATCCTCAATATTTAAAATGTGAAAGATTTTATGATAATGCTTTAAGCATAATATTCTAAGGAAACGATGTACTTATTTGATATGCGCTAGAGTAAGAGCTTTATACAAGTATGTTACTATTGTTGTCATTGAGTAACGATAGTTTTCCAAAAAAACATATATAATAATTAGTGGATTAATTAAATGTAGGAATTCCAATTTTGAGATAAGATCAATTTGATATGTAAGATAAATTGGAATAATATAGTAAAAAATTAAAAAAAGATTTGATTTATGCAATTTAAGATTATAGAATAGTAAATATATATATTAAATAATATAGAAATTGAAAGGAATACCAAATATATTTGGAGAAATAAGAAATTAAGAATAAATAAATAATTTGAAACGATTTACTTCAAACAAACTAGAATATGATATAAAGAATTATGCATGTTTGACTCCAATGCCTTAATTGATGCTTGAGATCCAAAGATTAAATTTGTTTTAATAATTTAGTTATTTGATTTGTGGATATCCTAAGATAAGATTTTAATCGAATTATCTTGTTTTACATTAATTTGAATATTTGAATGAGTTAGAATAGAATGGATTGTATGAATCAAAGAGATAAAGTATAATAGGTACTTAAGATAAATAATTGAAATTTAATAATATTTACAATAATTATAAATTATGAATAAATCACAATAAGAAGCAATCCAAAAAAATCATTATGGTAAATTAGAATATTGGGAAAGAAGATATTCAGAGTATTATTGAATATATTTTATAGAAATGATAAACCATTTGAATGGTATTAAAATTATGATAACCTAAAAGACATTGTTACATAATATATTAATCACAACAGTCGTATATTAAATATTGGATGTGGGAATTCAAGTATTACAAACAGATATATGAATTTATAGATATTCCTGAAGACATGTATAAAGAAGGTTATCAATGGATTGTTAATCTAGATTTCTCTAAAGTAGTTATTGAATTTATGAAAGAAAAGTTTAAGTCTTATCCTACTCATTTTTAATGTATTTAGATAAATATATATATATAATAGTTGTATTGGCTGATGCAAGAGATTTACCATTTCCTAATGATTCATTTGATTGTGTTTTTGATAAAGGATTATTGGATGCTGTTTTAAGTGGAGACTACTCTGCTTAAAATTCTAAAAAGGTTATTAATCATATCTACAGAACCTTAAAAAAAGATACTGGAGTTTATATTGTTGTGTCACATGGATTTCCAGAATAAAGACTTCCATATTTAAGCAAGGCAGAATATAGTTGGAAAGTAACATATAGCAAAGTCTATAAACCAGATGTAAGAACCAAAAGTTTAGAATTTGATGCATAAGATCTAAACAATTATCATTTCATATATGTTTGCAAAATGGATAAATATTAAGGATAAACTGCTGCATAAGTCATTGGAATTTGATTATATTTTATAGACTTAATAAATATTTGTTGATATATTAACTCAAACAATATTCAATTACTATAAATATATTTTNGCTTTATACAAGTATGTTACTATTGTTGTCATTGAGTAACGATAGTTTTCCAAAAAAACATATATAATAATTAGTGGATTAATTAAATGTAGGAATTCCAATTTTGAGATAAGATCAATTTGATATGTAAGATAAATTGGAATAATATAGTAAAAAATTAAAAAAAGATTTGATTTATGCAATTTAAGATTATAGAATAGTAAATATATATATTAAATAATATAGAAATTGAAAGGAATACCAAATATATTTGGAGAAATAAGAAATTAAGAATAAATAAATAATTTGAAACGATTTACTTCAAACAAACTAGAATATGATATAAAGAATTATGCATGTTTGACTCCAATGCCTTAATTGATGCTTGAGATCCAAAGATTAAATTTGTTTTAATAATTTAGTTATTTGATTTGTGGATATCCTAAGATAAGATTTTAATCGAATTATCTTGTTTTACATTAATTTGAATATTTGAATGAGTTAGAATAGAATGGATTGTATGAATCAAAGAGATAAAGTATAATAGGTACTTAAGATAAATAATTGAAATTTAATAATATTTACAATAATTATAAATTATGAATAAATCACAATAAGAAGCAATCCAAAAAAATCATTATGGTAAATTAGAATATTGGGAAAGAAGATATTCAGAGTATTATTGAATATATTTTATAGAAATGATAAACCATTTGAATGGTATTAAAATTATGATAACCTAAAAGACATTGTTACATAATATATTAATCACAACAGTCGTATATTAAATATTGGATGTGGGAATTCAAGTATTACAAACAGATATATGAATTTATAGATATTCCTGAAGACATGTATAAAGAAGGTTATCAATGGATTGTTAATCTAGATTTCTCTAAAGTAGTTATTGAATTTATGAAAGAAAAGTTTAAGTCTTATCCTACTCATTTTTAATGTATTTAGATAAATATATATATATAATAGTTGTATTGGCTGATGCAAGAGATTTACCATTTCCTAATGATTCATTTGATTGTGTTTTTGATAAAGGATTATTGGATGCTGTTTTAAGTGGAGACTACTCTGCTTAAAATTCTAAAAAGGTTATTAATCATATCTACAGAACCTTAAAAAAAGATACTGGAGTTTATATTGTTGTGTCACATGGATTTCCAGAATAAAGACTTCCATATTTAAGCAAGGCAGAATATAGTTGGAAAGTAACATATAGCAAAGTCTATAAACCAGATGTAAGAACCAAAAGTTTAGAATTTGATGCATAAGATCTAAACAATTATCATTTCATATATGTTTGCAAAATGGATAAATATTAAGGATAAACTGCTGCATAAGTCATTGGAATTTGATTATATTTTATAGACTTAATAAATATTTGTTGATATATTAACTCAAACAATATTCAATTACTATAAATATATTTTATTTTTATTTTAACTCTCAAATTATTATTTATCACTATATTATATTATTATAAATAAATTCTTTCTACTTTTTTTGTTTATCAAACTAAATATCAAATATAACAATTAAAGCAAAAAATTATATATATGATCATCAATCTTTTAGATTTTAAAAGTTTATTAAAATATTTTTATGATGATATGACTTATATTTTTATAAATATTTTAAATTTTTAATAAACAATCCTTTTTATAAAACCTTAAGTAGAATAAAGAAGAAAATAATTTTATTAATGGAGTGGTAAACAATTATAAATTTTAGAGTTTAATAAGAATTATTATGTCTCCAATTATTTTAATTTTATAATCAACATATTCTAATTAGATAATTTGAAAGAGAATAATGATGAGATTCACGAAAGTTATTATCTCCTCTTAATCAACTTATAATTGAATAAACTCTAGAGTAATCATAAAATTGTTATCAACAATTCTTATTGTTATAATTAGATAATCAATTATTTAATATAGAAATGAATAGAGTATTATTGTAATCTATTTACCTGCATATTTTAAATTTTTGGAGAAATATGATTCTATATGAAGTTCAAGAGGTAGAGAATATATACTTAAAACTGAATTTGAATGGAAAAATGATGTGATTATTTAGATATTAAATATGTTAAATATGTTTGGGTAATAATTAATTTAATAGTTTATATTACTATTACTAATTATAAGTATTATATGAATATTTCCATAATAGATATGAATTATAAGAAAAAGAAATAGTCAAAAATGTTACAAATCTGTAATTTTAATTAATTTTTTGGCGTCTCTTTACTCTCTCTGAAGTCTTTGTTACATTCGATTAAAACGACCTTAAAATAATTTTGTATCATCTTTTAGTCTTTTCCATTTTATTGGTAAGAAACATTAGTCTTTTGTCATCAGATTATCCATTAACAATTGTTCATGATATCCATTATAAATACGTTTCACATACTCATATTTCATTATATCAGGATCATCTATAAACTCTTTTTCATGATGTTCTTACGTTTGAATTGGTTCTCTTTAAGTTAATGGTTAAGACTTAATAAGCTTAGACATGTTATCTAAAGGAATATATAAGGGATTCAATCTTTCAGATTCTAATATCAAATCTGAAACCTTATCAATCTCTATTGCTTATTGTAATTTTGTATTTAAAATATGTAAAGGTATTCTATTTTTTAATTAACTTTTACGATTCAAATTTTTTGAAAGAAGTTTAAATTATTCCCAAGTTCCTTAGAAGTTCTTGCCATCTTTTGATTCTTTATCATTCTTCATCAATTATAATTTTCCTGATTTCATTTATTCTTTAATCAATTCAAATTTTGTTGTACTAAATCTCTATTAATGCTCAGATTGAAAACCCATAGTTTATAATTCTGAAATCATCATAGTGCTTCTTCTCTTTAATTACATAACATATAAAGATTATTTTCTTTATAAACGAGAGTATAAGAAATCTTCAGGTTAGATTGGTTTAATTTATAATTCTAATGTTTTTTGGTTTAATTCTTATAAACATTTAGTTCTTTTATTTTGATCATAGAATAGATTTCTAACTTTATTGTTTTTTAATTCAACGTAATCTTTGTATTTTTTAACTTTATCTTTAACTTATTATTTAAAATGCTCAGATACTTGATATGCTTATTGATTTCCAATGAATAAAACAATATCATCAGCACATAAGAATTCTTCACATCTAAACCCACTTTTAATGAATTAAGGTTTAGGATTTTTGGAATTCCAAGAATATAATCTACCAAGTTAATCAACACATGCAGCTTAAGTTGAAGCAACATGAATCTTACGTATATTAGAATATTGATTAGGCATTTAAATTTGTTTAATTTTTAGAGCTTATTCAAATGTCATAGANAATTCTTATTGTTATAATTAGATAATCAATTATTTAATATAGAAATGAATAGAGTATTATTGTAATCTATTTACCTGCATATTTTAAATTTTTGGAGAAATATGATTCTATATGAAGTTCAAGAGGTAGAGAATATATACTTAAAACTGAATTTGAATGGAAAAATGATGTGATTATTTAGATATTAAATATGTTAAATATGTTTGGGTAATAATTAATTTAATAGTTTATATTACTATTACTAATTATAAGTATTATATGAATATTTCCATAATAGATATGAATTATAAGAAAAAGAAATAGTCAAAAATGTTACAAATCTGTAATTTTAATTAATTTTTTGGCGTCTCTTTACTCTCTCTGAAGTCTTTGTTACATTCGATTAAAACGACCTTAAAATAATTTTGTATCATCTTTTAGTCTTTTCCATTTTATTGGTAAGAAACATTAGTCTTTTGTCATCAGATTATCCATTAACAATTGTTCATGATATCCATTATAAATACGTTTCACATACTCATATTTCATTATATCAGGATCATCTATAAACTCTTTTTCATGATGTTCTTACGTTTGAATTGGTTCTCTTTAAGTTAATGGTTAAGACTTAATAAGCTTAGACATGTTATCTAAAGGAATATATAAGGGATTCAATCTTTCAGATTCTAATATCAAATCTGAAACCTTATCAATCTCTATTGCTTATTGTAATTTTGTATTTAAAATATGTAAAGGTATTCTATTTTTTAATTAACTTTTACGATTCAAATTTTTTGAAAGAAGTTTAAATTATTCCCAAGTTCCTTAGAAGTTCTTGCCATCTTTTGATTCTTTATCATTCTTCATCAATTATAATTTTCCTGATTTCATTTATTCTTTAATCAATTCAAATTTTGTTGTACTAAATCTCTATTAATGCTCAGATTGAAAACCCATAGTTTATAATTCTGAAATCATCATAGTGCTTCTTCTCTTTAATTACATAACATATAAAGATTATTTTCTTTATAAACGAGAGTATAAGAAATCTTCAGGTTAGATTGGTTTAATTTATAATTCTAATGTTTTTTGGTTTAATTCTTATAAACATTTAGTTCTTTTATTTTGATCATAGAATAGATTTCTAACTTTATTGTTTTTTAATTCAACGTAATCTTTGTATTTTTTAACTTTATCTTTAACTTATTATTTAAAATGCTCAGATACTTGATATGCTTATTGATTTCCAATGAATAAAACAATATCATCAGCACATAAGAATTCTTCACATCTAAACCCACTTTTAATGAATTAAGGTTTAGGATTTTTGGAATTCCAAGAATATAATCTACCAAGTTAATCAACACATGCAGCTTAAGTTGAAGCAACATGAATCTTACGTATATTAGAATATTGATTAGGCATTTAAATTTGTTTAATTTTTAGAGCTTATTCAAATGTCATAGATTATAATCCATTTCCCCATTCATATATTATACCTTAATAATTGAGTGCCAAACTATAATGATTACCACATTAAATATCTTACACTTTTTCTAAGTTTTTGATTTGAGTAGGAGTATTACAATAAGTTTAAAATGAATATCCAGCCATTTATAGTCCTAATTCTCCATTTTTACCATTTCCCCATGAATATACATATCCATTATCATCTAATAATAAGGAATGAGTAATTGAACAGGATATCTTGAGTACTTTATTCATAATAAGTAATGGTTTAGATGTTGAAACTACATTAGTTTTAACTCCTAATAGATGTGTGAATCCACAGCCATATAAATCTCCATGTTATATATAATAAAATCGATCATTTTATGCACATAATTATGAGACTTCTTTTTATGGTAATTATTTAGGATCTAAACATAATCCTTTAAATTAAGAACAACAGTAATTAGTTTCACCCCAATAATAAAGACCTTCCCAATTATACGCATATGTATATGTATCCGAACAACTTAGAAGTTCATAATTGCAGTAAAGTCTTTAAGGTCGCTTTTGTATTTCAGATACCTCACCTAATCCTAATTATGCATGTGAATTATCCCCAAAAACCCATACATCATCCCTAATTGTTTATTTTGTATACCTATTGCCAAATAGAAAAAAAGAACGGACTCCTCCAAACAATCTAATGATAGTAGCATCAACTAGAATCTGATTCACTGAACCGTGAGGAATAAACTCAACCAAATCAGTACGACCGATAAAGAAGACTACTTTTATTTGCACACACTACCATTGCTCATATATCGATGGGGTTGTTAATTAAATAATATTTATGCATAACTAAATTAAGACTAAGTAAAATCTTTATAGACAGAGTAACACATATCATGTTATAATTAGATTTATATTTTGCAGATAACAAAACCCCTTTAAGTTTTTCTTAATCTGAAAGAATGAAACCTTTTAGAATGAAATACACTGTTGAAATAGATAATGAATACTCTGATCCACCAACTTAAATGATTGATATTACTAAACTTCCTAATGGATAATTCAAAGATACAAGTAACTTCTATGTTTTAATAAGGATACACACACACCGATGAATCTTTTTTTGTAAAAATGGGTGGCAAGAATAGAGAATTAATTGCATAAAAACTTAGATCTAGATTAGAAAGTAGATAGAGTCCAATGAGATTTAAGGGTATTTGATGATAAATATTATAATAAAAGCTAGAAAGTCCAATTTTTGATAAAAAGATGATCAATAAAGCTCTTAGATTGTAATAATAAAAGTAATCAAATTCAGCAAGGATTTTTCGAATTTAAACAGCTAAATTATCTCCCTTGAGTAGAATTGAAGTAAGGGCAGAGAGTGGAGAATTATAAGATGAGAAATCTATACAATAATTTAGTTCATCGCAGTAAAAACTATTTCGGATACTTTTAAATAGGAAATGATTGAATTGTAATTTAAAAACTAATTTATATTGATAAATAGAATTGATTACAAATACATTAATATGTAGATCATAATTTTATATTAAATAAATATGTATATTGATCAGGATATTATTTTAACATTTGGAAGTGTTTATTATTATTATTATAAAAGTGTTGGTTAAACAGTTTATGTAGGTTAATCTTGAATAATATATTATTTATGTATAGGTTATGGAAGATATTACTATGATGAATCGATTACATATTATGTTTATATTGGACGAGTTGTAGTAGTCTATTCAAGAACAACTCTTTAAGGAGATTATTATTATAATAATATAGATTATCTCGATAATTCTACACTAATTCTCTACTCTAATGATTTAATCAATTCATCTTTTTATCCTATTATTGTAGCCATCTTAATATTCTCTTACTCTATAAATCTAAAATCATTAACCATCCTAGTATAATCCTATTATAATCTGATTTTCTCAGGATCCTATCTGAAAGATAATGATGATAGTTCTGAATTAGTAAATTTGAGTGAATCAATTTCTCTTAATAAAGCATTACGTTCTTATTCCATATATCTTACTTAATTAATTAATTCATAATTCTCTTATGGTACTGGAACATGTACTACTGATTATGGTATAGGTTATCTTAATCTTAGATCCAAATCTTAGATTTAATTACTCATTTATTATATTTATATTTCCATACTATTTATCACCTATTTTAATTCCTTAATCCTTTTTTTCTTTTTCTCCAATTGATTTTCTAATCTCTCCACTTAATATGGATTAATCATTTAAGTTTATTATTATTATTGTTAACTCTATTAATTTCTCTAAGTCAATTGATTCTTTATATCTAACAAAGATTGTTTTAAATCTAATATTTAACGTTGTTATTCCTCCTATAACTTTTAATTCTATAATTGTTCTATTTGTTAGTACATCTTTAATTCCATCTCTTTAATTTCTTGAATGTGTAATTTCTCTATCTCATCCAATTTCTTCTCATAATCCTCATTTCTATTCTATACTATCGGCTACTTCTCTAACAATTAATCATTAACTTTACCTTTCAAAACTACTTATCTTGTAACAACCTTTTATTCCTTATCACAACATGGTACACAAGGCATACAAGGCATACAACAATTCTATTCTTATATTAAATGATCTTATTTTATTAATTATGATTCTCCTTATACTACTCTTCTCTCTCTTATTATTGTAGGCTCTGCTGTTATTATTTATGTTCCTTAAATATTTGGTACAACCACTATTGGTTATTCATATGTTGCAGCTACATATGGAGTAGGAATATATGATTGATAGTACGGTTAAGAATGATCATATCGATTTTCAACTGCTTTACTTTTCTTTTCAGAGTGTTTTGACATTAAAAATAAATCAACCGTTAATTAATTAAAAAATTTTCACAACATAGTTGCATTGCAAGAACAATCAAGAATCCTTACCAGAATGAAGGAGAATCGATATATTTCTTACGATTTTATACATCCTCAAATTAACTCAATAACGATTCACTACAATCCAATCTATGCTTCTGTTCATCTCTTTGCATATTCAATAAATTATTATTCCTTTTGTCCCTTAACTATTATCATTTTCAACGCTGTCTTTTATTATTAATTGCCTAAGAATAATTATATTAAATTAATCATTATTTTAACATTGTATTTCTTAAACTTTTTTTTAGCTGAGTTGACTTCTCAAAAATTCTCTCAGCTCTCTTTATTTTTTTAGTCCTATCCATCCTGAATTCACAGACCTATCAAAACGTCTTTCCTTATTAATTTTTGTCATATAATTGCTCATGGATGGAATCATCCATGAGTAAACATGGTTGAACAACCAAAGTAACTAATAATTCTAAATCTTTTTGGTTCTTATATTCAAAGAGCTTCTGATTAAATGATGTTGGTGTCTTTAATTTAATACTATTCCTATTTTGACAGTCGAGTTATATTGAAATTTTTCATTTCTCATATATATTTTATTAGTGAATATAAATTGCTCCATGTCTGCTATTATAATTAGTTGAAGAACTAATTTCAAATATTACAATTATACTCGAAATACCTTCTTTATATCAATATTTTAAATTATTTTGTAAATAAATAATTTATTCTTTTTAAAAATCTGTCATCATTGGTGAAATTTCAATTCTATAAAGTTAGAATCAATAAAAATATTAATAGTTAAATTTAACATATAACTTTAGTTTATTCACATAAAATGCAGTGTATAAATAATTTGTTAAACAGGTGAAAATTTGTAATAATGACTAATAAATTTTATTTGATTGATTTAGTTTAATGAGATAACATATAATTCAAATTTAATACTTGATATATTTAAAATAGAAATTAAATTAGTTCCAATAAGAATTATAGCCTAAAAGAAAAGCAATATTTGGCTTTGAGATTTAGTATTATAGATTAAAACTAAAATAGGATAAAAGAAAGAAAATAAATGAATGTAAATATAAATAAATGAAATTTGTCCCTTTAATATTTTTCTGTCAATGAATAGGTTTATACTTAAACATCTAAGAATTTGTTTAATTGATATAATTTGTTTTGGTTATCTGATTCTAAATATGCAAGTTTAGAGTGAGAATTAATATTAATTATTAAATGATAATTATTGATATAATAAAGGAGAGAGTTTCAGACATATAAAACATTTACAATAACACAATGGCAATAAAATAAATTAGTAATAATGAATATAAAGTAGAGTATAGAGAGAAGGTTCGTTAAATGTAAGAGACTGATATAATGAGTACACTATTTTAATATCGTAAATTGACACAATCAGATTTAGCTCAATTCCAAGAAGGAGCAAAATAAATATTTAAAATAATTGCACCAGGATTTGATGTACACGAATACATTAGTTAAGACACGATTTGCAGAAATCACTCTTACTTCTACGAGTAAAGTGTTTATAGAGTTGTACTTACACTTTGGTTTCGTATAAAAAAGTGACACTTTGTACAATGAATTATTACATAGTTCGAAATAGTAGATATTTTTATGTCTTATTCAACATTTAATAGATCTGACCAAAATTGCTATGAATTGTGCTGTCAAACGATTTTTAGATATGAAACTCTTTTGTGTTGGAAAAGAGATAGAAAAAGCTCCTTTTTTATTATCTAAAAAAATTGATATGATATAATTTGCAACAGTTAAAAGAAATAAAATAAAAAGAGTAATGAGGAGTGAATCAAACTCACTTAATTAATCTGATAAAAAATAAGATCTCAGAATTATTATTGATAAAAAAGACAGAATTTCTATTCATGATGTTATTTCTCATTGTGATAAAAGTGAAATCATTAAAAAGAATATCAGAAATTATGATGAAATCAATATTGAGAACATTACAACTATTTAAGATAGAAATATCTAAAGACATTAAAGTGTATAAAAACATACTGAACCTTCCACCTAAAGATAACAATTCCCTAGTATCTACAAGAATTCATCAAATGTTTTATACAAAGTTCTTAAATCACGTAATCAATTCATTAATTAAACTATATCTAATTACATCAAAGAATTATAAGATAAAGGAATTTAAATATCATGAATTAATCAAACTAAATTACTTTTATTATGAATTTTTCATTAATCTCTCTATCTACTAGATTCTAAGTGTTATTTTTCGTAATTCGAAAATTCTATAAACAAAATTTATAATCATCCTGATTAATTATATTATTCTAAAACAATAATACAAACAAACCCATCTAATTTTCTAAACTCTATGTAACATCTAAATAATAATTTCAATCGCAATTGAATTCTATCATTACCACTTTCCATTTCAACTAATACCTCAAACATTTTTACAAACTATCATCTACAATAAAATCTTATTAATAAATTGAACTAAATACTAAAAGTTCAACTTTATTCCTTTAAGTATCTTTAAAATTTTAAAATAACATCTGAGACTTCTATCAAATCATTCAGATTTTAAAATCTACTACTGTATTTTATTTTTTTTATTTTTTAAGTTTAATCCAAATCTAATTTATAAACTATTAAAGAATATATGAAAACAATCATTCATGCTTTCAATAACTCAAACATATATATTCTTATTTCTTACAAATTTGATGAGTTTTTTCGATAATCTAAACGTTGATAGAATTTTCAACTTTCTTATTTTATTCCAAAAATTCATGACATAGATATGAGATGATACAATGTCATTATCAATTTAAAAAAAACTCAATTTGTTATTAAATTATATAATTTCTCAGAATTCAATCTTAATATCCATTCATTCACAAATTTCTCAAATTGAAAAAAAATATAAAAAATATTATATAGAGTTATTTGTTACATCGCCTTAAATTAAAACCTTGTTTATTCAAATTATTTATTAAAAAAAAATCAGATTATTTGATCAAAATTTAATTACTTTTTATTATCTCTTTTTTCATTGTTAATATAAAAATATTAAAAATTAAATCTTCAATCGCAATACTTAAATACTTCAGTTTCTCAATAATCCAAAGCTTTAAACTGTTTAAAGAAATTTGTTCCTTTTGATAAATTTAAAAATTCTGAATCTGGAAAAATTTAATAAGAAGAAAAAGTAACTGAATGTTTAGAAATTTTTATTTATAAATCTGTCAAGAAAAATTATAGAAAAGAAGCTAATGAAACTTTTTTAAAATAAAAAATAATGCATATTTAACTCAAACCAAAGTACTTCTATTTTAAGTAATTCGAAAACAACATTAGATGATAATAATAATTGAAAAATTCAAAACTTAAGAAAGATAATGAAAAATCAAAAGTTCAGAAAAAGAATAAAAACTTAAAGGTTAAAAACTAAATTACTTAAATTTAATATTTTTTTTTAGCTTAAATAGGGAGAAAAAAAATATGAATTTTTAATCCGAAATATTGAAGAAAAAAATCTAAAATTTATTGAGTTACTTGATATATTTAGGATGGTTCAATAATTTAAGTTTGATAAAAGAATTTATTAAGAGGATCCAATATATAATAAATGAATTAACTAGAGAATTGTTTGATTCTAATGCAATTTAAGAATATTAATAAAAATAGAAAAAAAAACATTAACTTGAAGATCAATTATTATATTATCAAAAATTAAACCAAAAAATACTTTAAAAAGAAAAACCCTTTTATTATTACAAGAAAAAACACTCTGTAGATGAATTGATCAATGTAAATGAAAAGAAATTATGATAGATTGCGGTATTTTTGATGAATTAAAAATAATTATAATAATTTTTATTAATGATAATCAACAGTAATAAAATTCAATATTGAAAATTTGAGTGTTGAATAATCAAAAAAGAGAGAAAATTCTTATAAAAAGAGTATTGAATATATTAATTGTAGTGAATTATCAGTAGAAATAAAAATTCTTTTATAAATTTATAAATGAAAGTAATGAGTAATTTAAAATGGAGATAAATTAAAAAATGTTATTAAATGTAGTTGAATTAAAATAGGACAATTTGAATTAAGAATGGATATATAAATTTTAGTTAAATTAAAACTGATTTTATAAAAATTCTGTATAAATGAATGATAAATTGTTTGAGGAGAAAAATAAAATTAGATAGGGATATTTTAGAACTAAGAAAATATTTAATCTTAATATTTATTACTGAGAGTGACAATGGATTATTTAATATTTATTAATATAAATGAAGATTTGATTTATATTAAATTTTATTTTGTATGAATTTTAATTATAACATTAAACCTTGAGATTTAGTTTAGTACAATGGTATTAAATATGAAATATTATCTCTGATAAATTGATCATTTATAATTTTAAATTAAATTGATTTCGAAATGTACATACAGTTAGTGAGCGATTTTTTTATATCAGGAATGAGTGTCTACGTCTGCTATATTTGTAATTTTCATAATAATTATTAAAAGACAATTAAAATCTATTGGCTGTGGGAATGTTATTCGGTTTGTCAATATTACTTTTAATAATGTCTAACTTAAGTTTGTGGAACAAATAACTTAAAGTAATTTTGATCTACTTAAGTTTTTGTTGCAAATATTTGGGAATATGGTTTTTAGGAAACTCAGATGCAGTATATTACTTACTTTAAGGAATAATGTGCTAAACCTTAAAATATAAGAGTATTTTTGATCATATTTATATATATGAGTTAATTGGAATATTCAGTTTAACACTGAATATTTTTAATAAAGATAGAATAGTAAATAATAATGGAGTAATATTATCATTAGAAATATTGATTGTCATTATTTTTGTCATTCAAATTTTCAAGATAATGAATTAGAATTTTCCTGAGATTCTAAAACACAATTTAATATAGAATTAAGTGATAATAGACTTGACAACTAATCATAAATTAAAATAAGATTACGAGATAACTCCTAGTTAGTCTCCAAGAGTAACCTTTTAAAAATTATTCGAATCTAATAATTTTATTATATTTAAGGAGAATTTAGAAATTCTGGAGAGTAATTTTGATTTAAAAATACATTATTTAAACGAATCAGTTCCTTAAAATAGCATTTTGATAGAGTAATTAATGGACTTGTAAGTAATTTCTTCTAATTTTGGGGAGAATGAAGAAGTTTATAGTTTTAAAGAATTTATGATAAAATTTAAGGAAAATTTAAAATTCCAATTTGCCTCTATAATTATATCTAAAAGTTAAATTTATGATTTGGAAAATGTGACATTAAACTTAATGTCATTTCAACAAAATGAAAATAATTACTTTATTGTTTAATTTTCATATTTGAGTTAATTATTGTTTAAGAGAATAAAAGATGATAGCAATAATAATGTTTTAATGGATATAAGTCGATCTCTTTCTCATGAATTGGGAACTAATCTTAATAGTATAATGGTATTTTCTAGTTTGGCATTTAATGATGATGAGATTTCAGATGAAGTAAAAGAGAAATATATCTCTCCACTAAAAATTAATAGTGAGTAGCTTAGTCTTATTGTAAGTAATATAAGAGATTACAACTTGATAAGCTTATAACAATTCATTCTAAAATTAGAAGAATTCAATATAGATGATGAAGTAAAATATATTGAATCACTAATGATTGATATTATAAAAAATAAGTAGATCAATTTGGTATATGATTATTAATTGTTAAATCCGATTATTATTAATGATCGACAACGCTTTAGATAAGTATATTTTTAATTTTTGAGTAATGCTGTTAAATACACTAATAAAGGTACAATATGTATAAAAATTGATATGAATAAATGGTCATGTTAAATTTCAATTTAAGATTCTGGCCCTGGATTAGTAATATTATATTTATTATTTAAATAGTCTGAGGAAGAAATGGCGAGAATGTAGAATATTCTTATTGGAAAGAATCAATTTGTAAAGATTTCAATTCATTCAGTTGGATGTGGTTTAGGTATTGGAATTTCAAATAGCATAATAAAAAAATTGAATGGTAAGAATATTCCAATAAGTTGTGAACATAAAGATAAAGGAACAATTTTTACATTTTAAATAAAAAACCATCTTCATGAAGTAATCAATTATGATAAAAAGAAATCTGTAGAACTTAAATCAAGTAGATCTATCATCAAACTTATTTCTGGTAACTCTTATATCGAACAACCTTTCAGTAATTCAGTAAAATTGATTATACCATCATTAAGTTAAAGCAGTGATTCAATAAATTAAAAGAATCCCTATGTTGATGATGATAATTATTTTAGATAACCAAAATTAATATTAGTTTAAGATTAAGTATCAGTACCTATTAGTGAAGATGAATTCGTCATAATCTAAGAACCAAGAATTATGAGTCCAAAATTTCAATATGAAATTATTGAATGTTCAATTTAAAGTAATTGTTGTTCAAGAGTTTTGATTATTGATGATGAATACTTTAATATACTAAGTCTCTAATTATTGATGTAAAAGCATAAAGCTAAATGTGATTATGCATATAATGGGAAAGAAGCACTTGATAAAATTATGTAAAAATTAGAAAAAGGATGTAACATTTGTTAAAATAAATGCTATAGTCTAATTTTTATTGATATTAACATGCCTATCTTAAATGGGTATTAAACTGTTAAAGAAATTAAGAATCTAATAAAAAATTAAACTATAAGAAGAGCATGGTGTGTTGCTAACACTGGATTTACAGATCTTGATACTAAATTATAATCATTCAATTCTGGAATGGATTACTTTCTCACTAAACCACTAGATGCAAAAAACCTTCATAATTTAATTGTTTAAATGTTTCCACTACAAAAATGAATTTAGTTTAAATTATTATTATTTTATTTATTACATGTTTATTACAGAAATCAGAGATGTATATCAATATATGCATTCTCAATATTTTGTACTTAACAAAGAAACCATTCTGAGTATCAAAACATTATAGGATAAGTATTTTGATCAAGTATTTAAAATAATCATTTTAGAAATTACTTGAATTATTGTTATAAAGCGAAGAGATTGTTCGCAAAGATGTATTAGAACAGTTCTAAAATACTTTGTAATAATTGTAAGAATGTTAATTAGGGTAATTATATTTTTCTATTCATTTACAAGTGGTAATACATTCATTAGAAATGTTCGCACTATGGTAAAACTTGTTACACATTCAATAGCTATGCAAATTTAATCAAATGTTGATAGTTATGGCTCAATCAATCAGATTTTAAACGTTTCTGAAATTAATGGGTAACAAATTGCATCTTAATCATTAATTGAATTATGTAACAAATATGTTGCTTAATTCATTAACTTAAGAATTTAAGATCAAAATAATAATATACAAAATAACAATAGCATCATTATTGAAAATATTGCCAAATCTGTTCATTATAAATTATTAGATCCTACATTATGTTAAATATTTGTTGATAACATTGAGAAAATTAAATAAAAAGATGAGGAAACTTTTAATAATTCTTCAAATTCTGAATTAATTTATTCTTAAATAAAATCCACATATAGTTTGATAATGATCATCAATTCAATTACAATTAATAATCAAATTAAATTAGAATAACTGCATCAATATGCTTTCCTCTATTTTTAGAAATCTTTAAAGTATTTTGAAATTAGTACCTCTCCCATCTTTCTATAATTTATCATTAAATTATTAAAATAGCAACGAGATGAATTTGGAGGATGGTAATTGGATCTCATTTAAAAAAATAAAGTTTAATCTTTTATTAAAGAGATGTTTGAAGTTGTGGCTAATACTCTTCATAAAGCCAGTATTACATAAATCTATGAATTCTGTTAAGGATTAAAATACTTTAAATATTTAGGTTTTGATGTTTTAAATTCAATTAATTTCTATTTTATAATGCATGAATTACATTATCATTTTGGTAGTTTCTTGTCTAAAGTACTTATCTAAAAATAGCAATTATAATAGATCATTGATCACTAATTACTTTAAGAACTATTTCTAATAGAATAGAAATTGAATTATATATTGAAATCTATTTAGTAAGTATTTGTTTAATCTTTCTACCATGATGAAAATTAAAATAAAGTTTTGAACGAAAGAAAAATTCATTAAATTGTATTATTGTGGAATTCCTTTTTTGAAAATAGAGGTGATTTTGTATAATAAGATTATTTCAAATAAATGTCATAGATAATAAAGATTAATTATATAAGTAATGTAAAGGAAGAACAATTATTGAGAAGAATCTCATTTTTAAAATTAGCAAATACTTTCCTCTTAAGAGACAAATAACAGGAAATATCATTCAGTAGCAATGTAATTATTGATTTGGTTCAACCTAAGCTTAATCTCTATTAAATTATTTAACAAGTTCTGTTGCAGTAGAATAAATAAGATAAACCAAATATAATGGTTATGTAATATATGATAAAGAGATTATATTAATTCTATTTGAATCTATTGGCAAATTTGAAAGAAAAGTAATTCAGAGAGAAAGCTTTAAAAGAACTATCAAAATCTATTCAATTGTTTTTTGACGGAGACGATCTCTTTTCTTAATCAAAGATTTAATAGAATGTTCTTGATTATATTGCTGACAAGATCTATACAAACTATTTCTTATGTGATACTTAAGAGTAGGTATAGTTTTTTATTGAGATAATGTCAGTAGTGAATTAATAATTATTAAAAATAGAAGAGGAATTTTTGACTTAAGTAGAGTAATGTAAAGGTACTTAGGAAGGGATGCGTTCATAATCTCTTTTTAGATAATTGGTGTAAAAGGCTTAGGGCTAAAATTATCAAAATTTATCAATAGGATCTATTTTAGAGAAAAAAGTCATAGATTATAAAAGAGTATTTTAAATCATTCCCTTATTATCTAAATGTTGTTAGATATTTAATGATTCATAATAAGTAATTGCCTAGAGATTGAAAGCTTAATAATTAATATCTGAATTTTGGATTTACATAACATTAAATAATCCATCATTTTTCTTATCAAAGAAGGATGGGAAAAAAGAATTACTCACAAATGAAGAGGGTAAACTATTAAACGAATAACTTCAACCATTAAGAGAATTATATAAAACTGTATGGCTACCATTAAATTTGATTGCATTTTAAACTCCAAATCTATTAGCAGGATCAAAGACATCTTTATTGGATTTAAAGATCGTAATGAAATTAGTTGAAAATAAAGATACTTTTACTTATAATTTCTTTTATTTTAACAGTTTGGCAAGATAGATGAAAATCTTATTCAGAATAAAGAAAAAAGAGTTGAAAGATAAACACCTAGAACCATAAGATTTAGTATATGTAGTAACATTGAATGATATATTGTAAAGATGTTAGGCAAATATCATATAAGACATCAAATAATTATAGAAATAGCAGTATTCTTATATAATAAAATTATTTAACTTTTTGAAGTAAACAACTGATGAAGAAGAGCTTCTATAAAATAAAGAAATAAATGGTATAAAATTAACACATTAATAATTAAGAAATTAATTAAACAAATAAGTTAAATTCTAATCTTTGTTAAAGGAATCAATTACAAGAGCAGCTGTTTAATACAATCAATTTCTATTAAACAGTAAAGGAACATTAACGAAGGAAGTAATATGCAAAGATTTTGTATACCTTTTATAATAATCATGTTCAATAGAAAAGATAGTATCTGAGTATGCAAGTGATATGGTGATTGATTTTATTAGGAATTTTCCATTTGTATGTTTTTCTCCAGAAGTAATTAAAGTGTGTTCATATTTATTGACAGTGATATCATAGAAGATTGGTAGAGAATATGATTCTAAATCTAAACAAGTATTTAATGATTAGAAGGTTATGTTGAATACAGATTAAAAAATATTAACTCAGAATATCGTATTCTTGATGAATTGTTTGTTGAAATTGATATTTAGAGGATTATATATTGACCATAATTTTGTTAAGGTTTTTTGTTTGCATTTAATCAGATAAGAGACTTCATTATTATCAGAATTACCTTTCGGATATAAGTTTTTAAAATTCTTAGTAAATAGTTTTAAAGTTGATAAAGAAGCAATTGAAACATTCAAAGATTAAGCAGATCGTTATAATCCTTATTTTTGGTTAGTAAAAGAGGTTGAATTCGATACAAGAATAAGTTCTTCAGATATGTCAATGTTTTTATCAGATAAGGGATTGTTAAGATTATAAAAAATTAATATTGAATAAAGGATACCTTATGCAAGTGCATAAGAAATCCTAAAATTAATTAATTATTCAATTAAAAATGAAATAGAATTTGACTTTCATGCTGAAGATTTACTTTAAATAAATTATGTTTAAGTTTTGAAAGACATACAAAAATGTTGTTAAGAATTGAATATTTTACATTTCATTCATAACAATAAATCTTCAGTTGCTTAAAAGTTGAAGGAAAGAATGTAGTAGTTAAGAATTAATGTAAGGGATAGTAATTATAAGAAAGCAAAATTAGAAATAGTTAGAGAAATGTTATAACATGTTACTTAATTAAAGAGTGTAATAATTCATTCTGGGGCTTAGATTAAGACTTAAATCTTGACGAAACTTTTGGATATTTGTAAATTCTACTTATAACCTTAATTATTAAAATATATCTTGATGAGATTGATACCATTTCTGCATTCTATCTCTTAAAACTACTTTGATTCTACATTCTTTTTCTTATTAGGAGAAATGCTCCATTATATCATTTATTAAATCAATAATTTAGGTAATTTGAAGTATGACAAGAAAATAAGTTCTTAAGATATATTTTAAATTAAAATAAATTATTTTAATTAGCTTTAGGATTTGGAGGCTGAAGAATTTAGTGATTACTATTTGAATAAATTGGAAGAACCATATATAAACTTTATAAATTTATCTTAGATTGGATATTATGAGATTAGATGGTAATGCTTATGCAAATTGCATTTGATTCTAATAAGGTTTTTAAATGATAATATGTAAATTCATTTGGTAAAGAATGTGAAACTTTCAATAATTGCAAATATATTGAAACACAATTTTATGACAGATCGTAAATTGGTAGAATTTATTCCTTTAGAGAATGTATGTTAAGTGTTAAAGGGATCTATAGAAATAATTTAATTAATGAAAGAGTTTAAAGAGAAATTTAAGGACACTTAAGACTATGAGGTGAAGATTGGATAGAATAATTAATTACACTCTATGATAATGTAATAAAATCTGGCAGTAAAATTTAATATTGAATCATTTTATTATAAAACTTTAAAATTTGGATTAAGTCACTTTGCTAAGAATATAAATTTATATAATGAACCATTGTTTATTTAATGTTAGAATCAATCGAGATTGATCAAAAGATATTAATTATATTGTATAGTGTGTAAGTATTTGGCAAAGGATAAATTAAATGAATTGAATGAGGATTCAAAAATACCAAAGATGAAAAGAGTAAAGAAGAGATTTAATGCTGTTATTTTTAAGAGTCATCGATAATTTAAAATGACAACAAATCCAAAGGAAGGTCAAACAAGAGCATCAATATTAATGCAAGGGAATACATCATAAATTTATAGGAAATTGTAGGCAGAAATTGCTTATAATGGATAATAGACATATGCAATATCTCTATAAAATTTACAAGAACAAAAACCATTAGAAGTACGTCCGTATTATTTAAGGAAAGCATTATATTTTTTAATTTGTGATGAGATAGATAAGATAAAAGCATTTGCTTCACGTCTATAGGAAGAATTGTAAACGGATTATAGTTTGTTGACATAAAATAAGTTGAGTGATAATTTCATTCAATAAATACTAAATGAGATTCCAGATAAGAATTTAAATTTAGCATATTACATATTAATTAAACTATATCCTATAATGTAGACAGAATTATAATTAAATGATGTATTGTATAAGTTTTTGGGACATAAGATCTCTTAAAACTTTTAGAATTATTATGATTGTTCACATTTCTTTGATATTATAGTTACTCACAATTTATAATAAATTGAGAATTTTACTACATAACTCTTATATTGGAAACCACCACATATCTAATTATTATTAAAATACATCACAGATTAATTTGAGAATTATCCAGATGTTTAATTGTGTTTTTCTAAGATTATGAAGAGATTACATAGTGAACAGATAATATTTTATTTATCTTAAATATTATAATCTTTAGCTAGTAGATCTGGATAGTTAATTAAGACATTTCTAATTGAATATGCTTAATAATCAGTATTGTTTGCACATTAGTTGTTATGGTTAGCAAGAGTAGAAAGTAAGATTGATGTTGATCATAAGAGACCTGCATCTCCAAAAAATAAGAATTAACATTAAAATATATTAAGATCAGCAGAATATCAATAATTTGTGAAAGATTAATTAAATTAGGGTAAAATATAAAGAAAATAATATTAAATTAGTTAGGTAGCTCCATTCATAATATCTAAAATAATAAGGAATATGGATTCAGAATAAACTTCTTTTTTTAAAAAAGTAGATACTTTTTATGAAAGTGTTACAGCTATTTCTGGTTAACTTAGACCTTAAATGACTAAACCTGAAAAAAGAGAAATAATAGCTAAAAAATTAAGAGAAATAGTATTAACATAAGATATATATATGCCTACAAATCCTAGATATTAGATTACTTCAATAAAATTAGATTCAGGCACACCCATGTAAAGTGCAGCTAAATGTCCCATTCTTGTAAGTTTCCTTTGTAGAAAATATGAGGGGCCTGATAAATATTTTGAAAGAAAACTAAAAGAAAAAAGAGAGTTTGGTAAAGCATTAGAATTTGAATTTACTAAATAATAAAAAGAAGAAGATATTTAAAAAATGTTAATCATTTTTGAATCAGACCCTTTACCTGATGATGAAGAAAAAGGATAACTATTTATTAATGAATTAGTAAGACCATTAAAAAGCAATGGTTAAAATTAAATCATGAGTTAAAGTATGTAATCAAACTATAAGGATTCTCGTATTCATAAATAATCAGTTTCTTTTGAAAAACACTCTTAAAAATAACCAACACCACGTCCTAGTCTAAAAAAATAAACTACTAACTATAATAATAATGAATAATAATAAGAAACTAAATCTTGTATTTTCAAAGTATTTGATGATATAAGATAAGATAATCTTGCATTATAAATAATAAGTATGTTTAAAGGAGTCTTTGAAAGGTGTGGATTAGATTTACATGTTTTTCCATATAAAACTATCTCTAATCGAACAGGTAAAAGTCTTAATGTAGGTGGAATCATTGAAGTTGTACCCAATACTATTTCAAGAGATTAACTTGGTAAAACTAATCGATGTACTTTATATGAGTATTTCATTAACAAATTTGGAGCAGAGGATTCCCTATAATTCTAAATAGCAAGAGAAAACTTTATTAAAAGTTAAGCTGCTTATAGTATTATCAGTTATATTCTTTAAATCAAAGATAGACATAATGGTAATATCTTGATTAGCGATAAGGGACATTTGATACATATTGATTTTGGATTCATTTTTGATATCAGTCCTGGTGGAAATCTTAAGTTTGAATCTGCAAATTTCAAATTAACCAAAGAGATGAGTTAAATTATGGGAGGAGAAGTATCTCATTATAATATTATTTTAAGGCATTTAATTATTATGTTGATTTAACAGTAAGAGCATTTTTATCAATACGACATTATTATGAACATTTCTATTATTTAGTAACTCTGATGACTAATTCTGGATTAGGATGTTTTATGAAGGATTCTATGAAGAATTTTACTGAAAGATTTTAAGTAATTCTAATTTTTAAATTTAAAAGTTGAAAAAAAATGATTTGGCTGCTGCTAAGTATATGTAGAGTATAATAGAAGATGCTAATGATAAAATAACAACAAGATGGTATGATAATATTTAATACTATTAAAATGGAATATCGAGATGATATTACGTAATAGTGTATGTATAATTATTAATATTATTTTTTAAAACGGATCTATGATTACAGGAAATTTGGCTGAACTTGCATGGGGAAGTGTTGAGCTGGCCCTTAATGTTCTATTGTTCTCCAGATTGAAATTACCTCAGAAAGTTATGACTCAAGGTGTATTACGCATGTCATTGGTACGTGAATGTAATTACAATTTTGGAATCGACACCAAGGTACATTAGGATGCACATAGATTCTTAGATTGTTAGATATGTTGTGGCCTCATTTCTTACTCCAAATATAGTTAGACACTTTCGTTATTCAATTGATTCTTATCACTTCATATATGGTTGCTTCATGTTGTTTGATGCTTTCATAGTTATGGATATCTTTCCAATTACTGATACTGTCTATGCTATAATTATCATTATACGTTTGTTCAATCTGTTATAAATCATATTGAAAATTATCAAAGATACTCTATCAATCAAGATTCATCATTAAATAGGTCAAAGAATTTAACAAAATTCAATAAATCATTTAAATTCGTTCTCTTAGATCAATACACCAATGATAAATTAAAAAAAGCTTGAAGTATCTCCTCCTAATTCAACTTAAACTACAAATGCAAGTTCACTAATGGAATTAGAAAGTTGTCATTAATTTGAGAGTCATTAAAAGAAAAGACCTCTGTTGTTTCCTAATGTTTATTAAATAAAAGTATAAATATCAAAAACATCAAAAATGAATATAATAATTGATGAACCTGAGAAATTTGATCTACTATTTGATTAACATTTAAACTTAGATAGAAAGATGAATCTTTAAATAAAGCTGAATTTATGTGCTTAAGTTTATTAGAATTTGAAAAAACATTATCCCTGTGAATGGCTTCTTAAATAGATTGCTCAATATCAAGCCGAGTTATTACTTTTAGATTAATGATTTTTCTTTAACCCGTTTTTTATTTTAATTAATGAAATTGCTTGTGTTGCTATGCATTGTGAGTCTCACATTTGCAGATCCTAAGATTGACTTTTTCATGAAACTCAGTCAATCTGATTTCGGAAAAACAATCTTACAAACAATCCAAGTCCAAGAGTACAATATCTATATTAAATCCTAAGAAATAATGTCGAACGTGTGTTATAGTTTATTAGACAATTACAAGTAGATATAAATGCAGCCCAAACTGAACATACAAACTATTTACAAAATAGAAATGGATAAATCACATAATATATTAATGAAGCTGATAAAGCATTAGCTAAAGCTTAATAATAAAAGGCATAAGATGAGGCATAGCGTATACTATATATATCTATTTTATAATAGTTCCTTTGAAAGAAGAGGAACTTAATGATAAAAGAGCTTAAGGTGAATCTAAATTTGCTGAAAAATAACGAAATTTAGATCGCATTGCTGCACTAACAGCTGAAAGAGAAGAAAACAAAAAAGCATATGATCAAAGAAGAACTGAAATTGTAGGATTATTAGCTGCCTTAAATTAAGGAAAGAAACTCATCCAATAAATTAAAACTGGATCTGTTTTTACACAATAAGAAATATTTGCAGAAATTGAACATCATCATAAAAAATTCGCTTAAAGATTCCCAGATAGAAGAGGTTTCAATTCCTTAGTTTCCCTTTCACTTGCTATGGCCTAAGATTCTACATTAAAATCTGATTAATCTGCACTTGAAAGAGTGGTTTCAGTCATTGAAGATTTAGCTGATAGTTTATTCTAACTGTATATTTCAACATAATATTTTTAGTTAAAAACAAGAAATGGAAGCTGATGATGCCAGAGAAGCAGCATTTTAATAAGCTATGTATTCATATTTTACTATATAGCGCTCGATTAGAAATTGCCAATCAAACATTAGAAGGTGCTGTTGCATATTTACATGCTTAAATCTTGAGATTAGAACAATCTCTATTGGAATTATAAAATGATATCAACACATAAGCTCAAGTATATTCTTAGGTCTATTATTAAAGATGATACAAAATAAATAAAACGAAAAAGCAGATTGGTTAAGTATCCAAAGAGATGAGACAAAATCATTTGGAAAATAAACTGAAAATAGGTATTACAATCTAAATAATTATTATAGAAAATCATAATTAGATTTATTAGGAGAAACAGAAAATGTATTTACCAAAGGCCCCTTGACACCTGAATAGCAATCGTTCTTATAACATTTAAAGTGATTAATATAAATGAAAATTAATAACAATAACAACAACGATACGTAAAATTCTTAGGCATAAAAGAATTTTAATTAATTGATCAAGCTTGAGGCAGACGATTTCAAACGATAGTTCAAATTTATAGATAAAGAGAAACTCTTTATGGAACTTCAAAATTACAAAATTGAAAACAACAATCTTAAAGAAGAGAATACAAAGTTAAGAACACGCATTCAATAAACCGAAGTAAGCCAATTACATATGCACAGAAAGAGCTCCTAAATTATGAGAGACTTTGCGAAAACATGACAGAGTAAACACCTAATAAGAAGAAAGCTAATGAGCTAATACTTATATAACTCAAAAAATAGAACAAAGACCTTCAATAGTAACTCAAAGAACGTACAGTCTAAGTTGAACACCTTAAAAAAAATACCAAGGTCACCAAATTTCAAGAGCTAGAGTGTGATCGCAAGGCTTATTTTGATGAAACCGTGCGTATGCGTAAACTCATAGAAGAGAGTTAATTATACATCTAATCTATGTTAAAGTACATTATCTTAATTTTTACTTTATAGTAAATACAATTAAAGTCTTTAACTTGAAGGTGAAGTTTAGAAGCTACTCAAAACAAATGAAAATCTGATTGCTGAAAATAAAGCTCTTAATTAAAAGGGTCAATAATCAGATGAATTGATGCGTTAGTTATAAGTACTATGTCGATAAATTTATTTAGCAATTGTACAAGGTGAATTAATAGAAACAGTAAGCATTAGACAAATAAATATAAGATCTAAAAAACCAAATTAAGAAATTATAGACAGATAAAACAAATCTTAAATAGACAATTAAATAGATGCAGGAAGCATAATATTAACATCTTTAATAATCGAAACCAAAAAAGGAACTTACTCCTAGACCAGTTTAATTACCAAATTAAATATTGGAGGAATTACGATTTAAATTGATATACAGAGGTATAACAGTAGAGTAGTTTGCTGAAATGTTGGAAGGATTGAAATAATAAGCAAGAGAATAAAATGTGACTGTAAAAGTAGATGATTTACAACATATTTTTGCTTAGTAAATAAATATATTTTATAAATAGAGAGCCCTTCTCATATACAGATGAGAACAAAATATAATTAATATTAAATTCATTAACTGGTCAAGGCAATTAATTAGTAGAGAATTTGAAATCATTGATAGGAAATTATAAAACTTTCATGAATTTTCCAACATTTGATTTTGAATAGGCTTAGACAAAGATGAAAAATCAATTAAAATAAAATGAAAAGAAGATACAAGAGTTTTGGAACAAATAAAAAGTGAAAGGAGATGTAGTATCTAAATCAGATGTTCGTAAGATGTTAAACTCTCTTTCATTAAATTGGTAGGAGCCCGAGAATCTATTTTATTTTTTGTAATTATTTGAGAAATCAGGAGAAGATTTACAACTAATTCCATTGTTAGATACTTATGATCCATTTACATTAGAAGATCCATCATAACAATAATAAATTACAGGACATTAAAATATGAGAATATCAGAAGAATCAGATGAAGAATTATTTGATAAATAGAGTCAAGATTATTCACTTGATGAAAATGCAGCAAAGAAAAAAAAAGATTAAGATTAAGGAATAGTATTTCGTGATGAAGGTCAAATAGTTTAACAATAAAGAAAATAGTAATAGGAATAGGAATAACAATAAGAATTTGAGTAAGAGGATGAAGAAAATTATAATGAAAATGAAAATTATAAGGAAAATGAGGATTAACATTATTAGGAAGAAGAGAACCATTAATAAAAAGGTTCAGAATAGGATAATTAATAAATGCATGATTAATATGAACAAGATGAATATGAATAAGATCATTAGGAAGAATAGTAGGAAGGTCATTAAGAAGATGAATATTAGAATTAAAATTAGGAATATGAAAATTAAAATTAGGAAGATGATAATTAAAATTAAGAAAATGAAAATAATAATCAAGAAGAATAATAAAATGAATATGAAAATGAAGAATTTGATTGATTTATTTAATAAGAATAAGAGTACGCATTTTTTTATAATCTAATTACGCATTCTTAATTAATTAATTAATAATTTACATAGAAGAAGTGCGCATTTCTTTTTAAAAAAATACGCATTTTTAATAAATTTATAAAATGAATGCGCATTGTTATATTTTACAAAATCAAACAAATTAATAAAAACAAGTTAATATATAATTATTTGAATCAATGAAAGTCTAATCAACTACAACATAGTATGATGATAATTTCTTAATTTCTTACTATGATTATAAGTCAACTAATATAGAAAAGAACAGAGACAAGTAATGATGGAAAGAATCTTTCATAAGAATCATGCTTTAAAAGCAAAGAAAGAAGTAAAAAGACTTGTGTAGATGATATTTTGGAATCTAATAAGGTATTATATCCTACAGAAGAGGAATTGAATATTGATCATACAATCGTAATTAAGTATTGTCCAGAAACTGGAGATAGTAAAAAGGCTATGGATGAATACATTGCTGAAATCTACTTAGGAGGAAGATAAATCTTTGCAGTATATAATGTTTGTGAGGACTCGTTATTAGCTGCTCCATTGATAATGAATCTTTTGCTATTATGTGAGTTATTTGAAAGAATAGAATTCTCAAAGGATTCATCTGAATTCTAAAGATTTGATACAGTTTTGTCCTGGTTAAGTTACTTGATGAAAGCTCCAAATTCTGAAAGTGGAATAACTACAATTAATTCTTTATCAAGATAAAGAGTAATGCTTGAAAATCTTGTAAAAGTATGTGCAGGATTAACAGTAGATGATAATCTTAGATTAGAGATTAGATATGGTGCTAGTAGAATTTAATAATGATTTTTAAATACATTTTTTTGTTTATGTTAGTAAATCAATTACATTTGATCATCATCATACAATATTACTATTAAATAATAGGATTTCGTTTAAATTTATGAGAATTCTATATTATATTAAATAAATGAGATGAAAAATTAGAAGTATTTGAAGATTAATTAATCAAATAAGGATTTCTTTTGAAGATAATAGTTTTATAATAAATAAACAATTAAAGCTATATAGAGAAATACAAATTTTGCAACAAATTCAATTGGTATAAATTATTCTTCAGCTAAATCCCTATTGGCTAAATTTAGAGCTAAACATAAAATATAGAAAATTAGAAAATTAGAAAGAATATAGTTAAGAGAATATAAAATACAAAAGGAGTGAAAAGACGCTAATATAAGACTCTAAATAGATGTCTTAAGATTAAGTAATTATTTATGGAAATCAAATCATCTGTTTCATAAGGTTTGAGTTGTATATATATGATTTTATTGGAGTAACATTATATGAATATTATTTAATTAAAATGAGTGGAGGCACAAGAGTTAATTAATATTTCCAAAGTAACAATCATAGAGGAGGTAGTGCTCTAAAAGGTGGAAGATTGCAAACTAATATTCAAACTCCCAAAATGAAAATGCATAACTCTTTCAATGATTAACTTGTTATACACAACTTATAGAATCATCCTTTATAATTAAGATAAAGTCCATCTTTTAAATATAAAACTCATAGACTCTCACTCAAATAAGATGATACATAATAATAAAACAAAATCTCAGAAACTTATGCTAGAAAAACCAGGATCACAGTCTTAGAATCTTTTTATAATCAATTAGGAACTGACGAAGACATTTCTCTTGTTAAAAATTCACCTTAAAAAAAGCAAAAACCTATTATTCTAACACCCAAATCTCAGACAACCTATTTTGGTGGATAACAAAATTAAATGAATGAAATTGATAATATTGAAGAAGCTCATTTTCAATTTGTTTGTATGCAACAAAAATATAAATCCTGGCTTGAAAATTTTGAAAAGAAAAACCACAGCAAATGACCTTATAAATTCTTTTTTTGTACTATTACTTAATTTTATATTATATATATAAATATGGAAGAAATCAAATTTTCCCATAGATCTTAATCATTTACTGTTTTATAATGTGATCTCTATACTAGATTCCTTGATATGCATGATGAATTGTCTAAATCTACTAAAAATATCAATAATCTCATAAATCATAGTCTTCGTCAATTATCTAATACTTAGGAGGAGACCAGATTTAGTTTCTCTGCCAATTCTTAAAATCAACAAGAACTTAATTCTTTTGAAGAAATGATTATTGAAGAAGACTTGGATCTAGAAACCTCACCTTCAAATAATGAAAAAGAACTAATTTTAGAAAATAAAATTAAGATATATGAATCTGCTTTCAATACATTCGAACAAGAAAATGTATAAAAAGATTAAGAAATTATTAGACTAAAAAAATTGTAAATATTCTACTTTTACCAATAGGTTAAATGATTAAAATCTATAACAAAGTATGTAGAATCCAGATGAAATATATTAAGAATAAAGTGTTATTAGATAATAATTATAAGTTCTAGATGGTTAATTAGATTATTTATAAGAAAAAAAGGACCTGGAAAAGAAGATGAAAGAATGGGAAAGCATAATAAAAGAATAATCAGATATGATAACTTCTTAGAAACTGGAAATTAGTCGATTAAAACATATAAATTCATACTTACATAAATCTATTGAAAAATTATAAACATTATGAAAATATTATTATGCATATTAACTTAATTTCATATTCTACATACATAGGAACTACTCTATGTTATATATCTAACCCATCTATGAGGATTAGTAGTATTGCCTCTCTCTTCTATTCTTAAGTATTTGATTTATAATCTACTGACATTAAACATTGGTATTTCAAAATTCATAGCAATAGGGCCAATTTCCTTTCTAGCTGTATGAGCAGTCTATGTAGCCTATAGTGTTAATTTGATCTAAGAATTTAATAAAATATAATGAGTACTTTTAATGATCTTTCTTAGCCACCATTAAGTTTTTTAATCTACCATTCAACCATTTTTTTGTTTGAATCGTATTCTGCTGTTTCTTATTAAGCATTCTTTACTAATTCAGTGTAAGCATTAGCAGTCTATTTGGGAATAGGAATACGAATAGTTGCATAAGAGGCAATAATTTTAGCATCAAAACAAGCTTTTAATTTAATAGTGACTTCTATTTTGGATGATGAGATTTCCTCAATAATAGGAAATAATCTAAAAGGAGCAGCATAATCTCCACTTATACGATAATTCATAACAACAAATTAACCATCTGGAGGTTGGATACGTAAAGTTTTATTCATATCTAATTCATTAGCATTAACACATTCATGAAAATTACAGTCATCCTTAATTATAATTAAATAAATAATACCAAAATTACTCCAGCTGAATACTATCCTTATTATCTACCTATTTATAGATCATCATTCAAAGCCAATTTTAGAGGTGGATTTCCTTATAAAAATGATGTCATTTGAATCTAATATAATACTCATATAGAATACGCATCCTTCAATACTCTAATTGATAACATAAGCACTAGAATTAAAGAGAACATTGAGTTTTTCATAAATATCAACAAAAATTTCATTTGCTTAATTTTTGTTTAATACCGATCTTTAAACAGCTTGACTTCCAATAGTGTTAGGAACAAAAATATTGAAAGTTTGAATTTTTGGTCTAAGGGAATTCATGACAGAATCAGGTTAAGGTTGAATAGGGTCATTAACAATGAGTGGTTTGATTTATTCTGTAGCCATAAGTTAAGGGTAACCAAAATCAAATGATTCATCTAAAATCTAAAATATTTGAATAATAGTTTACTTCATATATGAGAATGAAATTCTTTCTAAGGACTTCTTCATTGATGACTCCACAAAAATCTTTAATCTCTTTTGCTAATCGATCTAATAGTTCTAATGACATAGCTGGTTGTAAATTAAATCTGGATGTACCTACAATATACAATCCTAATTGTAAAAATAAGAAAAGAACCTCCTCTTTTGATATGAGCAAATTGTATACAATCAACAGTAAATAAAGGATTTGCATCTCCAGAGTAAGTTTTAGCTTATCTAAAAAAAGTCTCTGGAGTAGATTTAGGTAAATCAGATCTAAAATCTCTATTGATGATTGTGTCACCTCTTGGAGATAATATGAATATTTAAGAAAACATTATTATTTATATATATTTTATTTATTTTGTATCAAGCTCTTCCAAGGATATCTTGTACATTATGGACTTCATTAATCTTCTTCAAGGCATTCTTAAATGCACTTCTGTCTATAGATCTATCATCAAATACATATTTGATTCTCTTTTCTCTATAAAGAAGTGGAAGCCATAAATTTGTATATCCAAAGAGTACTCCTTCAAAAATAAATCTCTTTATTTAAGAATCTTAAGCAGTTAACATTGCCCATGTGTTACTTAATTTGAATGACTATTTCACTTAATTCAAATAATCAAATTGTACTGTATCCCAACCATGATAATCAATTGTCTATAATTCCCAAGAAAATTCTTTATTTTTTATACCACTGAAAAATTAAGACCAAAACTCTGTATCTTTATTATCTTATAAACTCACTACTACATCCACTATGTTTTATGTTGATAAATATTTAGCATTTTATTTTAAGTTTTACAATAAAATCTCTGTATTCACATCTTTTAATAAAGCATTATTTCTAATCACATACAACAATTGAGCACTTGTCTCCACTTCCTATTACCAATTGTTATTTTTTATGAATGATATTGCCTCCAAAGCACATTAAGCTGAAAATTGATAATTCAATTATGCTTCATCTTTCAAAGCATCTACTGTATTAAATTGTTAAGCTTCATGTGTCAATGCACTTGCTATTTGAGCTAAAGAAAATGCAGTCAATTCATGTCCTAATTTCATTAATCTTCTCTAATACCTTATGGTAATCCACTATAACGATAAGAAGGATTGTAAAACAAGTTTGCAGAATTAAAACTCCATCTTCCTGGGTTTATTATTAGTTTGTTTGCACTTGCAAATACAGAGGCACTCACAAACTTAGAATAATTTTTAAATAATCCTGACATTTATATTTATTAAATTTCATATCATCAATTTTTTTATAAAATTCATTATTCCACTACTAATCTCATCATTCAATTTCTTTCTTATTCCAAAATACTCAACTTCCATTTTTATCTTTAAATCTTTCCTATTAATCTAACTTCTTTAAGTTTTCTCATATCTTAAATATTATTTTCATAGATTTCTTCCTTTAATCATTAATAATCATCTCTATTATTTTATTATTTTATTTCATTCAATATGATAAACGAATATATTTTCCATATATACCAAAATCTAAAATATAAAGATTAATAATATTGATATATATTAAAAAATGAATCCGATATATTGTCAAAAATTGCAACAATAACCTTAAATTCTAAGCTTTAAACTATAATAATGAATAATAAATTTAATATTAGTTGCAGTTTGAATTAAATTATTTTAGATTATTTGAATATTTAAATACTTTAAGATTATTGCATTTTCAAATAATTTCAAAAAATTCTTTTGGATGTTAAATTACTGATGTATGTGGTTTAACAATATCTACCTCTTTATATTAGACTGATAATCTTTTGGTAGCCATAAGTTATTTATTTTTTATCAGCTTGTATTTTTTTCTTATAGTTTTCTTAAACTTTTTTAACAAACTCTTCTCTAAATACATTTTAATACTCTTAGATGATCAGCTCTTATATGAAATCTATTTTTTGCATATCTTCCTTTGACTCTTCTTTATAATGAAAAACCAATTCCTCTAAGATTTATATTAAAACTTTTGCAGTTCTTCAATGATAATAGTAGAATGGCGCTATTTAATATTAAGCAACATCAATCAAAATATCAACAAATCACTTTAATATTTATATTTGTTTTATTTGTACTCCTTCTAAAGATTTAGAGTGTTTTACAAATAACTAATATTAGTATGATATCTAAATGTTTTAGTAAATTTTCTTCTTGTTTTCTTCTTCAATCCATAACTATGATTGATTTATTCAAGATTTTTAAAACTTTAAAAATTAAAAACTTATGCTTGCTATATTACATAAATTAATGTAATAACCATTTGCTACCTTTACAAAATAAGAACTCAAAAAAAGACTCAATGATATATAATACAGAGTTACTCAAGAAGCAGGTAATTATAATTTGATTTTGTAGATACCGAACCACCCTTCAAGAATGAATATTATAAAACAAAAGATCCTGGAGAATACTTTTGTATTGTTTGTGGTGATAAATTATTTGGATCTTAACACAAATACAACTCTGGATGTGGATGGCCTGCTTTTTGGGGTTCTTATGATTCATAAAAAATTAAAGAGATCAGGTAAATTCTTAAAATTATTTAAAGTGATTTCACTCATGGAATGACTAGAATTGAAGTAAGATGCTAAAAATGTAATGCTCATTTGGGACATAAATTTGATGATGGACCAATCGATAAAGGAGGAGTCAGATATTGTATTAACTCTGCCTCCTTATAATTTAAAAAAGAAAATATATGATTTATAATGAATCATTAATCATCCATTCCATCAAATAAGTCCTCTTCTTCATCAGAATCCTAAACAGGCACCATCCCTAATTTTTATGTTGGTTTTTATTGCATTTAAACATTTTTCATTGCATCTTACATTTTCATATCCTTAATTGCTTTATCCTTATTTGGTAATTATTGCTATTATTAATATCGTGCTATATTTGGATCGTCGTCTTCATACAATTCCTTACCTTCAAACCATTTCTTCTTAAATGCATTTATATCTTTGTCTTATTATTTCTCTATAATCTCTGCTAATGGATCTATTCAAAATCTACTTAATAGACATACCTGTTGCAAATTCTGCATTCCTGTTTACTTTATATGGGTCTACATCATATGGAGATACATAAAATTTCACATTCTTATATACATCCTAATAATATTCGTGATACTATTGTAATGTGATTAATTTTGCCTTCGAGTAAAATATATCAACTATTTAATCCCAAGTCTTGCATACTAAAATGTCTTTTCTTATACAAAAACACATTATTCCCATATTTATAAATATTTCCAATTTATTTTTCACTACCTTCATTATCATTTAATCAATATTAAACAATGTTACATCAAGAGGTAAAAATGCAAATCCAAGAGAATGAACAAATCTCTTAATTATTATTACCAACATTTATCTTTGAGTTGGACTCTTTAAATTAAGAACGCTCTAAAACTTTAAAGCTAATTCTTCATCTAACACATTAACACTATTCATAAATAAATCTGTCATCTCTGATTCATACTTTTCATCGTGTCTAATAATTAAATCCACTAAAGGATCAAAAAATTAAACTATCAATTATAATGAGTAAAAATATCCTATTAATTCTGTTGGTATTTTTAACAAGTGTTTACTTGTTCCAAAAACAAATACAAGAGGAATACAAAGTAAGTATAAATAATCAGTCAGAATTCTATCTTATTTTAATTCATAGAAACTCAAAATAGTTTTCATTGCAAATATCATATTTCCATCAAACATATCTGGCTTTGTCATTTGTTTCACTATTTATTCAGTATCTTTTATAATTTAAACATCAAATTTTGACATCGTAAGCATTCTTGCCTTTCCTAACAAACGACTATACTCATCACTTATTTATTTATTTTCTAAGCACAATTTCCACACTAACTACCTCACATCAGGTGGTAAATGTTTCTTTTAAAATAAATCAAAAATATCTCGGTTCCCCTTATTCTTATTTAGCAATAATTGTAATAAATTCAATGTCAAACCCCATTTAGACTCTCTCTTTTTAGATTAAATTATTTATTACTGTGTTTCTCCTCATATCTTCTAATTTATATGTTATAATCTTTCTGACTTTATCCTTTAACTCTATTGCTTCCTCTTGGTGATCATATATTCGTGAAATCTCTTTTACAAAAATCAATACTTTACATCTCGATAGATTTAAATTTTTTTCTCATTTGGCAAATTGTTGAGATAATCATTTCTAAATAATAAGATTTAATAATACTCCATAGTTAAACAAAATTTTGATGTTGATAATTTATACTTTTGAATAATTGACTTGTATTCATGGGTTTACTTTATACTTGAATCTACTTCATCCAAAAATTTAATCATCACATCTAAATCAAATTTAGTTGGATTAGGTAATTCTTTTTGATCTTATTGATATTTAGTCTCAAATTCATATGGTTATGACGCTTAAAAATTACTTTAATTAAGTCGCTCCACTGCGCTCTTGGCTAATGATTAATTATTCATTTTAATATTATAATATTAATATATATTCAAATACATAAAAAATATATATAATAT